TTCAAAAGTCTTTAAGGCTCCTAATCCTTGGGTCTTGGGAATTGCGAGTGTGTTACTAGAATTATATGAATGTGCTGATTTGAAATTGAACTTGAAGTTTGAAATTGAGGTGCTTTTGAATTCCTTGGGCTTAAGCGTGAAGTCCATCGAGCCATCGACTCTCGTGAGGCAACATAACCCCAAACCTGAAGCTTTGGCCGCATTATTTGGAATCAGACAGGAGATCAATGGCCTACCAGGCGGGTTTGGAAGAGCTTCAAATGAGTTGCCTGAGCAAGACTTGCAGTTGCAACAACAATTGCAACAACAAGCTGTAATGATGCAACAACAGCAACAACAACAGCAGCAGCAACAGCAACAACAACCACCACAGGGTCTCGTGAATCAGCCTCAAAGACAAGTAGAGGAAGAAAATCTTCACCCCTCTGCCGTGAACCAACTAGATGCATCTTTCAGCAACTTGGCCGGCAATACAGTCTTCACGCAAAATCCAAATCTTAGGCGTGCCCTTCAAGCTTCTTTAGCTCGAGCAGTTCGTGAGTGTGCTGTCCCAATCTTGAGTCGTGTTTCGGAGGCTGTCTTGACAACCACCGAGGCTTTGGTGAAGAAAGATTTTGCCACCGAGGGAGATGTGCTTAAATTCAAGAAAGCCTACCTTGTACTTGCTCAAAAGCTTACGCATAGCATGGTGGTTTGCACCGGCCGCAAAATTTTGATCGAGACAATCGAGGCTACAATGCTCCAATTGTTGAGCAACCAGGTAAACCCTAATGAGCTTCCATTGAATGAGCTTAACGTCGCAATTCAAAGTAACGTTGATTTGTGTGTGGAGATTGTCGAGAAGTTGGCTTCAAGCAATATCGGTGAGTTGATTGAAGAACGTATGAGATCACAGGTACATGCGAGAGAGGTGAATCCCACAGGTGAACCTTTCCGCAGTGAAAATGCATCAGAATACGCCCTCCAATTACCGCCTCCTTTAGGTTTGCCGCAAGATGGGTTGCATGAGTCACAATTGAACATTTACTACTCATTTGGTTCAAACACTGTTGGTAGACCGGAACCGCAAGGTGCTCAAAGGCAAACTCCTCAATTGTCAGTTCCACAGCCACATGTCCAGCCTCCATCTGCGCAAACGCCCGGTACCCAACAAGTTCCTCTTAGTGTTCCACAAGTTGCTCCAGAAGGTTCATCGGGCAGGGGAAGCGTGCCCTCTCAGATCACACCTCAACAAGCATCTGCTGTCATGCAATCCGATGATGGTGCCACGGTGGACCAGTTATGCGCCATGATAACACAAATGTGTGAGAAGATCATCCAAATGTTGGGATCAGTGAAGGAGAATACGTTGAGCGAACTCTCAGCTGATCATCCAGTTTTGCAGACTGTATCTCAAGCTTTGAATTTGTGTCAAAGTAACGCTTTGAAACATCCAGATCTTCTTCTCAAGGTCGCACAATACGCTGTGAATTGTTTGTTCACGCAAACACACGAGAATCCGATGAGCAGCGAAATATTCGTTGTCATATTAGATCGTTTATGTGAGTATTCGCCCTCTACAGCGAAAGACGTCACTTGGTGGATGGTGCATTCTGTCGATCAGAGAAAGTTCAATATGCCAGTTATTTTCTCATTGATGAGAGTCCAATTGGTTTCTCCAACGAAACTCGATGGTCCGATTGGTAAGCTTATCCAGGAGTCTCAAAGCCCCGTCCTCGTCAAGTTTGCAGCAACTTTATTGTTGAAGGTTTTCAGTGCGGATGAGCCTCGTCCTATAGCATTGAGATCTGATTTTGCCGTGACGTTAGCAGCTCTATCCAGATACATAGGAGATGATGGATCCACCGAGGCCACACAAGCTACGGCTGCCAGGGACGAATTGTTTGAATTCCTCAAGAAGTCAACTTTGCCTTCGCTTCCTACTATTGCGAACAAGCCCCCAAGCATGTACGTTCAGAGTGGTTATTTGTTTGCAGAGTGGACGAAGCTTTTAGGTCATGGTGACGAGACAGTTGCTTTGCAAAAGAATTTCATTGACGCCCTTTTTCACAATGGTTTCTTAACAGAGCCCTCTAAAGTCGAAGTATTCTTCAAGGCAGCTACTGAAATTTCTGCTGGCTCGTTTTCCGCAGAACATGAGATCAGAAGCCGTACTCAAAGAGAGGTTTTCTTGGCGGTTGATTGCCTTGCTACGTTGATCATCAGAGTTGTTTTAAGATTCCCAAAGTCTAAAGCTGAGGATGCAATTGAATGGTTGAAAACTGTTATCGGTGTGACTTCCTTAGTCCTTATCGAGGAACACGAGCTTGCCAAGGCTAACTGGAACGAAAGAGCGTACTTCAGAATTTTTTCGACCATGTTGTGCTCTTATGCTAGTGCCTCTGTTCGTGACGCACAAGCTACATCACATCTAGATGAGCACTTTTATTGTCTCTTGAGTGAAGTGTTTAACAGTATCCAGCCTACCATATATCCCGGATTTGCATTTGCCTGGATACCCTTAATCTCCCACCGCATGTTCCTCCCAAAGCTTATCGAGCTCCCCAACAAAGCGGGCTACACATCAGCTGTTAGATTGTTGACGGCTTTGCTCAAGTTCCAGAACGTGTATTCCCGAGACGAGTCCAGTCACAGTGACGTGATTAGTGTGATCTATCGTGCCATTAGCCGTATCTTCGTCGCTTTGAGCCATGACTATCCAACTTTTGTTGTTGAATGCCACTATCAATTAGTGAGTGCGATTCCCTCGAGTTACATTCAGTTAAGAAATGTGGTCTTATCCGCTACACCCAAGGGTGTTGTGCAAGAAGACCCACATAGTCTAAGTCTCGATTTGGAAGACATTGGAAGTGGAACCACTGTACCATCAGTTTTCTACAACCCGGTGCACGACCTAGTGAAGGTTGGGTTGAAAAAGCCTGTGGATAATTACTTGAGAATACCAGCACCTGGTTTGATGCGTACTATTCACGCTGGTACTAAATTGAACCATCCTAAAGATTCTGCAGACTATGGATTTGAGGTGGTTCACTATAATGTGAAGTTGATCAATGCTCTTGTCTTGCATGTCACCACTTCAGCTATCGAAGAACGCTCCCAGAAAAACGGATTGCCTTTTGGCCCGCAGTCTTCTCATGCTAGCTTGATAGTGGATCTCTTGAACATTGGATCGACAGAATTCCGTTACCACCTTTTGTGCGCTGTTGTGAATCAGCTTAGATATCCTAATGGCCACACGGTCTGGTCTGTGCAATTGTTGGTACACTTATTCAGCGGAGCTAATTGGAACTCTGACATTGTTCAGAGCGAGGTACAAGAGATCATTTTGAGAGTTCTTCTTGAAAGAGCGGTTGTGAAGCCAAGGCCATGGGGTCTTACAGTTGTTACGAGAGAGATATTGTGCCAAGGGGAGCAAAACCTCTCTTCATTGCCATTCATAAAAAACGCACCGCAAGAGGTTCGCGTTATCTTAGATACGTTGTTACGAGGATTCAAAGGAGTCACCGGATAGTTGGCAAACTGTCCTGAGTGTGTATACTAGCGATTACTAATAGAAGCATTTAAGCATGGCGGTTAGTACATAATCCGTTTGCAGTGTTGTTGTGCGCACGACAAGATATCAACGGACCTCCATAGTAGTATGCGATTTTCAAATTTATCAGCTCACTGACTTCAGCAAGATGTCTAGAGTCAAAAGAATCGCCAAAGAACTTGAAGAATGTCGCCAAGATACACAGAGTGGTGTCAATCTCGAACTTGTTAATGAGAGCGACTTGACACATTTGACTGGCTACTTCCAGGGACCCCCTGGTACCCCGTACGAAAACGGTGTCTTTAAGGTTGACATTGTGATCCCCAATGAATACCCATTTAAACCTCCAGTGATGAAGTTCAACACAAAAATATATCACCCCAACATTTCTTCCGTGACAGGTGCCATCTGCTTGGACATTTTGAAGGATGCCTGGACTCCAATCTTGACATTGAAGTCTTCCTTGATTTCTTTGCAGTCCTTGCTCCAGTCTCCTGAACCCAATGATCCACAAGATGCAGAGGTTGCTAAGCACTACATCACTAACAAGAAGGGGTTTGAGGACACCGCAGCCTACTGGACTAAGCTTTACGCTGCTGACGAAGGTTCTGTTGGAAAGACCGAGGTAAGTGACGCTGCTCTTTACGGTATTTCAGAGGATATTGTCACTCAATTCGAAAACATGGGCTTCCAAAGGTCTACCACGATCGATGTGTTGAGGAGAATGGGTGTCAAGAGTTTTGACGGAGTGAGCAACAGAGCTGAATTAGAAAATAAGATCCTTGAGGAGTTATTGAAGGAAAGTCAATAAGCAACTCTTGTTTAAGAGGTTTATAGTTTAGAAGTACCATTACAACTCTGGCTGTAGCCCACAATTGCATGTTTACACCACAATGTATCAAGTTGAAGTCGAAGAAACATATGTTCCATGTCATGGCTTGAAGTGAACGACATTGAACGACCCATTTGTAGCCTATATCCATTTACAATGTTACCATGTTTACGTTGCGAGTATTTCTTGATAATAAATCGACCAGTGACAAATGAGACATTGATCGCTGTCGTTTCTCTGTTTGAATGAAAGGTTAATACCAAACAAATCTAGTACTTAATTCCATAACCTCACTGGGCATGGCTTGACTACTAACACCGTAGATAAACCATATTTTCAAATGCAATTGTACATTTAAAAAGAAAAGATACAAATTAGGTGGTTGTTTCTTTGGCGCGAGGTGGAAATTTCTGTTCGAAGTTCGGCGCCTGTGTGTCGCACTGCTCCAAATTTTTTTCCAGAAACCATTTCATCGATTTCAACAAGTCTTGTCATCCTAATTCTACCGAGGATAGCCAATCTTCCCTTTGTTCACAACTTCGATTCATTTTTATACCACGGAACTTTGCGCTTGTCGTTTTTTTTTATTAGCACACCAATCCGCATTAGCATCTCACCCATAGATCTATCCATAGAATGACTGTCACTGAAAGCAAGACCGAATCCGTTTCCATTGAAGAAATCGGGTGGTTGTTCGTGAAGAACTACTATGGTACATACACTTCCGACTTATCAAACTTGTACGCTTTTTACGACAAGAACGCATCCCTTTTGCATGATGCCTTCCCCGTCGAATCCTCCGAATCTGAGACTCCCGTCCCAAAAACCGTTCACCTTGCCAACGGAACCGATTCCATCAAAAGCCACTTCACTGAGCAGGCCACTGCCGCTGAGAAAAACAAGATTGTTATCGAGAGAGCCGACTTCCAATCCTCTGTGGAGAACAGCATCTTGATCGTAGTCTGTGGATCTTGGAAGCGTGGCTCATCTAGCCTCTGGCAATTCGTCCAAACTTTTGTTTTGAAGCCTGTGGGAACCAAGATGTTCGATGTGGCTAACGATATGTTGAAGTTTGTTGATCTTTCTGAGAACTTTGAGCAGCCACTGGTTGTCATTCAACAAGCTAGCACTCCAGCTCCAAACGGTGATGCTACCAAGGACTCAAGCGAGCAGGAGACCGCCAAGGTTCAAACTGAAAGTGAGAAGGAGGCTGTCAAGGAGAGTGTTCCTGTTGAGGAGAAGTCTGAGGAACCTGTTCCTGAAGTGAAGTCTAAGAACACCAAAGAGGAGAAGCCTAAGAAGACTGAAGCGGAGCCAAAGGAGGCCGAAAAGAAGGAAACTTCTCCTGCCCCACAGCAGCCAGCTACACCAGCTGTTAAGCCCACTTGGGCAAACTTGGCTGCTATGCAACCTAAGGTACCTCAGTCAAAGACCGCAACTGTGGCTTCCCCAGGTGCCGCTAAGAATGTTCCTGCCCCATCTCCTACTGTGAAGAAGACTGGATCTCCCGCTCAATCTGCTCCATCTGTTCAGCAACAGCAGCAGCCACAACACACCAACTCCAAGAACAAGAAGGAGGAGTGGTACCCTATTTACATCAGGGATGCTGATGTGGAGGAAGAAGCTTTGAGATCTGCATTGACGAAGACTTTTGGTGAGATGAAGTTCTTCAAGAAGAACCAGAGAGTCGCTTTGTGTGACTTCAAGGAAAGAGAATTCCAACAGAGAGCTTTGGAGGCGAAGGAGATTCTTGTCGGTAACACTGTGGTGCACATCGAACCAAGAACTCACAAGCAAAACAACAACAACAAAAAGGATTTCAAGGATAAGAAGGCGACGAAGAAGAACAATAATAACGGTAACGGCCATAACGGCAAGAAGAATTAGCATATACTAATAAAACCACTGGACTAAGGACTATAGGTATACTCAACATTTTCAAGGTAGATTATCTATTTACAAAACTAATATCCTCTTCTCTTGGCCTCCAGAACCTCTTGCAAAAGGTGAGTGAATCTTGCGCCGAAGTTCTTTCTCCACCACTTTCTGTGCTTCTCAGCATGGAGAAGAGCAGGTCTGAGGTGTCTCTTCTGCTGATTTTTTCTGCTTATAAGTTCTTCTTGACGGAGGTTCCTGGAAAGCTGTCTCAAAGCCTGTGTGACGTTGCCGAATCTCACTTCAGCAGTTCTTCCGGCCTGGGTACCAGTTATGTTAAGCTCCTTGGCGACATTTCTAGGATGTTTGGCGGTGTTGCCGAATGCATAGCTGTCGTAGTTTCCAAAACTCTGCTCGGATTTCTGCAAATCTGGAGAGTTGGCAATCAAGTCGTCAATATCAAATACCGTACTGGCATTTTTCTTCGTAGCTGAGTCCAGCTTTTCAGAAGTCTGTTTAAGCTCGTCAAAGACGTTCAAGGCACGCAGCAGAGAGGTGAACAGCCTCGCAATAAGAGGAGCAACCGAAAGCCTCTGGAGTGGGAGACTCTTTGTGAGCTTTCCGCTAAGCATGCTTGACAAGTTGAACTTCTTGAGATCGATGCACCTTGAGAGACCAAATTGTGAGGTCGTGTACAGCACCGTTTTATATTAGCGGTTACTTTGGAAGAAATTACATTCATTGATAGCATTTGATGAACCTGCTTTTCGAAGAAGACTACTTAAGGCTAGAGAGATAATAAAAGTGATGTTTAGTTTTCAAAACTTCCACTTCTCTTACTGTGAAGTTCATTCCTGCTGGGACTGATTGAGACGTGGTTGATCGATCCAAAGTTCTTCAGGGAACAAACTCGTACTTTTCAATCTCTTCGATCAAAACAAAATCTTGCTGGCTATGTATATTTTTTATTTCGCCGACCCTTAGTTCTCCGGACCTCGTTCGCTTAGGTGGACAGGTCCCCTTCACTGCAGGACACCAGTTCTAGATACCGCATAGCGGTTTTAGCAATTGCTTACATATATTCTCAGATCTCATAACCTAGGAAATTTAAAATTTTCATTTTCCCATACAATCTGACCTACTGGTTTGACTTTCGCTATCTATTAGACTAGCTGCTTTGATAGACCCAATGTCAATCGTGTCCCACGAGCTATTTGACACGCATAATGTGCTGGTGTTCAAGATACCGCCTGGCGAAGTTTCACTTTCTAGGTGGGAAACAAAAGGTCCAAATGTTGTCTGGAAAGGTAGTCTAAGGCTAATAGAGGAGGAAGAGGAAGAGGAAGAACATGCAGAAGACGCTGTCTCCAATAAGGAGCCATACCAACGATTGCGTCTAAAGCTAGAGTTCTATAATAAAGACCCATCAGGAGGACTACTGGACGACTTTACGGGAATTGGACAAGAATCTGTTTGGGCTGAGGCGTGGTTCAATCCATTCCGCGAGTTAAGTATTGATTGTTCAGTAGCCAATGACGGCAACGAGACCATAAAGATGACTCCCGAATCTCCCAAATACTACAGAGCAGTACTCCAACTACCGGGATCCGGATACCATCCTTTTCCGCTTCAGAAAGCATCTTCGAAGCAATCCGTGCTACAGGTGGCATTAGGCATGAAATTTGATGATTCATTTAACGCAATGTCCTTTTCCGAAAGTATCGGTATCTACCGAAGGCGCTTCAAAGCGTCCCAAGAGAAATTTATTTACGACAAACACCTCACGAATCTACAGCACAAAATTATTAATGAGCTAAATATTAGCGAAAAAGAACTGCGAGAGATCACCCCGTGCTCTGACGACGATGATTTTGGGAATTTTGTGAGCTCGTCTTATGATTGAGCGTATTTATTGCGAACGGACCGATATTTCACCTTTTCTTTTTGTAGTACATCTTCTGAATGAGCGGATGGTGCTCCCGTAACTCCTTGTTCTTGTTCTTGCTGTACTCGATGTATGCCATGTCTTCACCACCAGCCAAACCAGCAAGAGATCCGGCACTTCTCGATGCACTGCTCGATTCACCCTTGGGTCTGCCGGCTTTAGGCATAAAGTTAGTGTCCTCATCATCACCTACCTCCACACCTGCGGCATCTTCGTTCTTGAGTAGCACCTGTTGTAAAAGCTCTCGCCTCTCACGAGCAGATGCATATGCTAAATCTGGAAGTTGTTCCATTCCCGATAAATGTGTAATGACCTTGAATGCATAACCCTGGTCAACAAGGAATGCTTGACGTTTGGTGGAGTAGTACATCTCCTGTGTGTCTTTTGAGACCAATGAGTAGAAGAAGGCGTTGAAACCCTCATCATTACGTCTTTTGGCTCGCAAAATACGCCCAAGTCTTTGTGCTTCTTGTCTTCTCGATCCATAATGGGAAGAAATTTGAATCAAGCAGGTGGCCTCAGGCAAATCAATAGATGTGTCACCAACTTTTGAAAGGAAAATTGTGTTGACCTGGTCATTGTGTTGGAAGTTTTGCAAAATTGTCATTCGTTCTTGTTGGGGTGTAGATCCATAAATGAAAGGTTTCCCTAGCTTGAGAGCATATTCCTGTAATGCATAGACATTGTCACTGAAAACGATGATCTTATCACCTCTCTTTTCGTGGTAGTGGATCAAAAATTGACATGCCTGAAACTTGGTTGGGTTCATGATGTAAAGTAGCATTCTCTTACGAGACGATTCTCTGAGATATTCCTGGTAAAACTCCGCAGTCATTGGGCACCAAACCTCCGCACATTGCACATTAGCAATATGACCCTTTTGAGCGAGCTCCATCCAATTTGCTTCATATAACTTTGGCCCAATCAAGAAGTTCAAATCATAAATTTTTTCATCTTCACGAACCAAGGTCGCTGTCAAACCAAGCTTTGCATGTGCAGCGATTGTACTGACAACCCTTCTAAACATTGCAGCAGGAACGACGTGCACCTCGTCAAGAATAACGAAACCCCATTCTCGACCTGTCAAGAAATCCATAACCTTTTGAGAGTCATGTGAACGATTTCTTGTATTGGCAACCATTGAGTAGGTTGAAACCACCAAGCCGGCATCACTGGAAAACATTTCCTTATTTTCAGACGTGAAGACAGCAATATTCTCGGGCTGAATCGTGCACCACTGCAAGAACTGTTGTCGCCACTGCATCACCGAGACGGAGGAGGTACACAACACAATGACCGATTTCTTGATAGTGCAAGCTGCAGTGATTCCCACAAGCGTCTTACCAGCACCGCATGGCAACACAATAATACCTGATCTTGCACGACCATTACCAAACATCTTGGACAACGACTTTTCTTGATAAGGTCTGATTTGCGTGGAAGGTTTCAAGTCAATCTCCAAATTGGCATTTCTTTTATCGTTTCTGAAATCGTATTCTTCTAAGACTGGGTATTCGATTTCATAAAGACGTTTCTTCACAATTTCGACCGAGTCACTTGCAATTTCAAAAGAATGCACAGCGTCCAAATCATCATCTTCTTCCTCAGACTTCTTGCCAACTACAGAGTCGAAAATAGCTTCCACCTTCTTTTCACCGGCATTTTCACCGTCAGCAACGTTCTCCCCTTTCTTTACTTCAGCCCCTTGTTCGGTTCCATCATTTGCCTTCTCATGCTCTGGGGTGATTCGAAGAGGTCCGATCACAGGGTCCGTAAGAAGCATTTGTAGGATGTCAGCTTGAGTACTCTCAACAAAATACCTATTGTGCTTAAGAACTAGCTTGACTTTACCAAACTTGATGGTGGCCTGCCGGATAAAATTCAAGAAAGAGTCTGGCACGGGGGTTTTCGATAGTCTTGTCAACACTGCAATAATGTCATCGGGCTCAAGACCGACAGACACAGCAGCGTACAATGAGTAGGAAGTAATGGAATATTCATGAATGTGAGACGGTCTGGATCTTGGTTCAGCAACTGTAATGAGGAAATCCAGTGCTTGCTCTGCTAAAGGCGAGAAAGACTCGAGAATGATTCTGCCATCAGTGGGAGTAATCCAGATGGGACGGGAGAAGTGATCAGGTTTGAGCTTGAGGTATGAAAAGTCCAGTCTACCGAATACCTTAGATACGGCATCAGGCACGTAGTCGGATGGTATTTCTGGGGTCACCTCCACTAACTGCTCGTTGGGGAAGTCGTCATCACTGAGTTGGTCATTAATGGTTTCCACAGCCTCCTGAACTTTGACCTTCCGCTGAGCTATTGATGGAGTATCGTTGGCAGATTTTTTGGTTTGCCGTTGCCTCGATGCACCTGCCTTCCTCTTCCTGTTCTGTCCACCATAGTCGTAATCATCGTCATTTTTCTTCGAGTACACCTCTTCGTCATGAGAGTCATACGAGTCGTCTGAAAAATTGCCTCTTTCAAGATCGGCGTAGTTGACTCTAGACATGTGGATAAGATGATGACTAAAGAAGGAGGCAACTCCGATTCAGTTTGATTTCTAATGTGCGCACACTGTGCAGATGCTACAGATAAGTCTTAAAACACCATTGATAAAATAAAAAATATACCTAAGGAAGGCAGCTCAAAATAAAAGTTGTTGTATCGGGCTGGTAAATTAGCCATCTATATACTATGCTGTTGTGATAATGCAATTGGTGGTCCTCACAGGCTCAATTAATCAGTGAACTTGTAAGATCCGGACGCCATAGTGATGGAACCACCTCTGTAAGAGCCTTTCTTCATCTTGTTCTTGTTCTTGGTGAAGTCTTTGCCTCTTACCTGCATCAAGCGATCGTTAGCCATCTCTCCCCAAGTGCCGGCGGCTCCCTTGTAAGTGTTGTCTTGCAAGACGGTGTCTTCGAAAGAAATCTTGGATCTATCGATTCTAGAGAAGTGCTTTCTTTGGCCCTCCTTGAGCTCAGGCTCTGGGGAAGCAGAAATATGCGATTTCTTCGTTGTGCTCTCTTCGAAGTCAGCCTCACGCTTGTTGGAAGGAGTCTTCTTCTGTTCCTTCTCATCTTCAGAGTCAGAGCTCGAGTCGGAGTCTGATTCAGAGCTGGAGCTACTAGAGCTACTAGAGCTACTAGAGCTGGAGTCACTAGACGAGCTGGAGTCCGAGTCTGAAGAGCTGGACGAACTGGAGGAGCTGGAAGAGCTGGAAGAGCTGGAAGAGCTCGAGCTCGAATCAGAATCTGAGTCGGAGCTGGACGATGACTTGCTTCCCTTCTTCTTCTCCTCATCATCGGACTCTGAGTCGCTTGAGCTGGAGTCCGAGCTTGAGCTGCTTGAGTCGCTGCTTGAGTCGCTGCTTGAGTCGCTGCTTGAGCTAGAGCTAGAGCTAGAGCTAGAGTCGCTCTCGGAGTCAGAGCTTGAGCTGGAGGATGAAGACTCCTTGATTTCCTCCTTCTTGGTCTCTGAATCTGAGATCGATTCAGTGACAGACTTGGTGTCGTCGTCGTCGGACTCGTCGTCTGACTCGGACTCAGAGGAAGAGCTGGACTCGGAGTCTGCGTCACCCTCAGAGTCGGAGCTGCTGGAGCTGGAGCTGGAGCTCGAGTCTGAGTCTGAGTCTGAGTCTGATGATTCACCGCCTTTCATCTCGACATCATCCAAGTCGCTCAGTGAAAGCAACGATGCGAGGTCACCAGCCACAGATGGCAATTGAATCTTCTCCTTCTTCACGTAATCATTCAAAGCTTTGGCGACTTTCCCCAACTCTTTGTCAGAATTAAGAAATTCGGCCACATAAGCGATAACAGTCTCCCTTCTAGTCATTGTACTTGTGTGCGTCTTCACCAGTGTGTGTGTGCGAGTTTGCGATGCCTGAGATGAGATAAAACTCATTTTTTTACGAGCCTCACTATCAACTATTTTGCAGCCACTGCACGTGACCCATATCGAATTGTCTAAACTATTGCTTTCAAAGCTTGGGCTTTATACTAATGAAAGGGAACTTGGTAGGTGGCGCAACAGCACGTTTTTTGAAAACGTCAAGAAGTGCCCTCACAGTCAATTCAGGGCTTTCACCATTCATTATATGCCTTTGTCCCGCAAAGTGAATAGTCTCCATGGTTTTAACGTCTTTGGCCAACCTTTCCCTATCTGCTACCGGTGCTGTGTCCTCACCAGAAAGAAACCTTATAACCGGAATTCGAATATACTGCAAAACGGCTCCCATGGGTGGCAACGCCTCTTGGGACCCCATGTAAGTCGCCAATGTGTATTCCTGACTCGTCCTCAACGCAATTTTATCCACCTTTTTACCATAGTGATCCTCAGGCACCTCATCATGTATCATGTTGTCAAGAACAATATCATCAAATCTCTGGAAGAATGATCCGGTTCTCATGTACTTGTTCACTACATTTTCCCAAGACTCGCCTTTTGGAACGTCGAATCTTGTTTCCAAATACCCCTTAGGCACCAATTTGTCCCTGATGATAGTAACTTCTTTGCCGGGATAACAAACAGGATTTATGACAATGCAAGAGTCAAACAATTGTGGCTGCAAATATGAGGAATAGAGCGACATCATACCGCCCATAGAGTGACCGATGATAATGTTCTTCGAGGAAGAGTCTAGGAATGCTTCTGTTTCATTCTCCACGACTTTGAGTATATCATAGGATCCGTCTCTCCAATCGAAACCCTCGCCCAAATACTCTTTATTGGCTTCCGCTGATTCTCCATGATTCACAGCATCAATGGCTAGACACGTATTGATGTATACTCCGGACGATTTCGCTTCATTGTAGATTTGGTCAATGAGCGAGTGCCACATTCCCTTATTCATACCGGTGCCATGGTGAAAGACAAGATTGAACGAGGGTAAATTACCTTCATTAGATGTGGTAGCCTTGTACTTTCTGTAACACACTTTAAGAATGTTCTTGCGAACACCATCTTTAATGGCCCTGTAGACTCTCGGGAAGGATGCAGGGACTGCTTTTGTCCTAAAAGTGTATGCTGATGAGCTTTCGGGAATCATCTTGGAATTTGCAGAGATAAGGGCTCAATCTTAAATATGATATTTCGCGGGGTACCTTATTCGCAGCTTGCAAAACCGAGGATTTTCGGAGTGGATAATACCGAGGTACGCGGAATTAGTAAAAATCAGGACTTTAGATCTGGGTAATACCGAGCCTATATTATATACAACACCGGGTCCTAGAAAAAGGGACCTTTCTCTTCTTCGGCCTTTTTAAATGCCTCGTCGTACTCCTTTACCTTGTTGTCATAAACCGTCTTGTAAATCGAAGTGTCTTCATGCCTGTGCTCGTCCTCTATGACCAGCTCTGACTGACCAAACTTCTTGCAGAACTCTTTACCACTGCGAATAGCACACCCCACATTCGTATTGGTATAGCCAGGAACGCCGTCCTTGAGCTTGCCTTCCAGATTGAGCTGGGGTAAAAATGCACTCATGTCGATAGTGGCTACTCCCGGTGGCTGCAAAAAGAGAGACTTGTCGGGCACATTCAAGAGTGCGTTGAGGACGCCCTTCACTTCGACACGATCAACGCTGAAGTCAGAAACTGAGAATGCAATAGACATTCTGTCTTTCACTGTCCATTGGCCATTCACAATATCAAGTCCTTCCATCAGCCAGTCCGAGACTCCATTGGGGATCAAGGCATTTACACCTTGACATACAGCGTATGGCTTGTCAATATGCCAGGGATCAATGGGGACATGCAATGAGAGGAAGCCCGATATGTGTGATACTTTGAATAAGTACTTCCTTTTCCTCTCTCCGTCAACCATAGTTTCAACCTCGTCCTTGGTCACCACCAAAAGATTGGGTCTGTAGAAGGAGACTCCACAGCCGCAATGTGTAAGATGAGCACGAGCAAAACCCACAAAGACTTCACGTCCTCGAGGAAGTATTTGATTGAGAGGGACATTCTTCTCTCGTAGGAGGGAATTGACACTAAGAAGTGGAGTGCCACCACGCATTTCACCAATATCACCGTCTCTCTTATACAAAACCTCACATTCACCAGGGTTATCAACCAAGTCACACTTCGCAACGGCAAGGTTTTTGACTTGGGTAATGAAGAGAATGGATTTGTCGTACCCGCCGCTGTGTTGTCTATCAATGTCACTAATCACAGGAGTCCAATTTTTGGCTTTCCGGGGCCTATCAACACCCTTGATTCCCAACTCCTCCGTCCTAACGAAAAACATCTCATTAGTGAGCGGCCTGACCTTGGTTTCCAAACCGCCCTTACCTTTTTGAAGCTGGAAAAGTCTTGACATAAACATGGAGCGATATTTGTGATCTTCTTCCTTGCCATTTTTGTCTTTGGCCATTTTGTGGTGTTCAGCGTTGAACACGATGAGCGGCTCTTCGTAGCCATCGGGATTTTTTATAAGAATTACCCTTGGGTCTTCCGGTCCTAAGTATTTCACATTTGAGGTGCCGTAGTCATTGTAGAAGGGCACTGGCATAAGGCGAGGAAAACGGTAAGAATGGAAATGCTGGCCATCTGATTCGAAACCTGGGGCATCAGGGTCCTCCAATTTGTTAGTTGGGAACACCAAACGGACATCTTGAATTTCCTTCCAATTCTCATCAAAAACTTGAACCAAGACGAAACTCGCCTTGGGGTCATTTCTGGCCTTATGATGCGAATAAAGAAATCTCAGGACAAGCAAATGAACATTGTGATCCTTAAGCCACACGGATGAGCCTGATAGACGGTACCAAAATGCGCTGACCAAATCCTTTTCAAGGGCTATGCGGGTACTCTTCATGAAAAGTGGAGCAATCTCCTGATAATACGGGTCCTTGTAATCATCGTGCTCTTCTAGAAGCACCTGAAGAATATGGGTGAAATTTCCCGGTAGCGTCTCTCTCGAATTCACTTGCAACGAATCCACCGTTGAGTTGAGCTGCTTGTCACATTGGTCCTCGGGCCAATTTTCCGCCGAGTGGTACAAGTTGAACGGCTCATGAGGCACAAACCTGGACCGGGAGCGGTCCGGACTGCGATCCAGACTCTTTTCTGGCTGCACCATCGGCCAATGCCTGCTCGCGGTATTTTGCAAATGTCTTTTGACTGTGGCCTTGTCAAAATTCCATCTTGCCGGTAGAAGAACGGACTGATGGAGTGGCAGCAGCTCTTGTTCAATGTATGCACCCGAACCGACGCCGCTTATAAGCTTATCGGGGCCTAGGGAAAACGATGCTTTTTTGAATGCATCGGTTATGCTTTGGTCATCATAGTCTGCTAGCTGCCATAGAAGAAGCACTAGCGAGAAGGCAGCCACAACAAGAAGCACAGACTCGTGCTGGTGCCGAAGGCGGGAGAACAACATCTGGGGAGGATATGGACGAGGCCAAAAGGTAGTAAAACAGCAAAATATAAAATACAGAAAAAACAAAAGAAAACGAAAAGAAATGCAAGCAGCAGACGGGTTACTTTTAAGCTTTTGGCCTGGGGCAGGGAGGCCGAGCAAGAGGCTGTCACATCGCCCCACGCACCATACATGGCGGTCTCAAAGTAAAGCAGCAGATCAGCGCAGCAATGGGTAGCGAAATGTTAATAGCCTGTTCAAGAAGAAAAAACTTTATTTGCAATTATAAAAAACATTTATCGTTTCGTATTTCATATTAAACTTTGGTACCTGGCACCACGTGGAGGGGCTATCGTCTGTCAATGAACAAAGCTCAGATGGCTGAAAAGGAATTGCCTCAGGCTGGTGCAGGCAGCTTCCGTTTGCATTTTCGTTCGCTACAGAGGGTCTCGTAACTGCCCGCGCCCAGCACTGCCTTGATGTCAGAGCTGCGGCGTTGGCGGGCCTTTTTGGGTGGTTTTTTTTTTATTATTATTATGGTTTTGCAGGACGATCGAATTAGGTTGCTTTGATAAGGCCCGATATCAGGGGGCATGTGGGCTCATCGAGGCACAGGTTGATAATGCGTGGTGCCCTGGGGGTTTTGACATCCCCGTGTTATGAGGCAGTGAAAATTGCTTCGTGACTTTGTGTGTCGCCTTGTGCATATGTGCCTCCATCTTTTTTTTCCGTCTGTTCCTGGTGCCTTGAGAAGATTAAGCTGCCGTGCATCAACGTCCGAAATATTTCTTCTCAAATGGACGTATCAAATTGTAACCGACAAAGGCAAACACGATATTTAGCTCAAACAGAATGTCACCACCCGCAGGGCCAAAAGTCCGGGCAATCACCAGCTGGTACCACGTTTGGTTCATCAGCAAAACTGTGGATGCAACCCCAAATAGGAAACCTGTCACACCAGCGTATCCGACAGGAATGCTCGTGCGATCGTTGTAGTTGCTCACGTCATAGCCCTTGAAGCCTTTTCTGTAGATGTAGTGCTCGGTAAGCGAAATGCCGAGGTAGATAGCAACATTGTATCCAATGATACTCAAGAAATTACTCATGGTCTCGGAAAATACGTAATATGCTGGGATTGCAAGACCAAGTGACACAAAATTGCCAATCAAGCACCAGCCCAACCTTGGGAATCTCGCAAGCGGCAGCCAGATAGCCTGAACCGCCAAAGCAAGCGAATAAGAACCAGGCAAATTATTGGCAATCGAAGAAAGGCCGAGCACCACCATGCAAAAACGGCCAAAGCCGTGGAGATTGTTCACATTCAAGATCATGTTGACCAACCCACCCACAGAACCGTCGTCAAAAGCAGCTTTCCATGTAGGATCCGTCAATGTCCCCATAGCACAAGCAGCGCCAAGCGTAAGAGTAAAGATACATGGCGTACTCAAGCCAACCACCATACAAGCAAAGATCTTCCATGATGGGGTGTCTGAGGGCATGTAAACAAAGTAGTCCGCTGAAGATGGCGACCATCCAGCAGTAAAGCCAAACACTGCACTGATGAAACTAAGCACATTGCCTGCTTGTTGTGTTCCGCTTTCCATGGCGCCCCAGGTAAAGTTCTTCGACATGGTCAATCTGGCAATTATGATTAGATAGATGATGAAGTTTGGAATCCACGAATAACGTTCGTAGAGGTGAATGGCCTTGTAGCCGAGTAATGCAACAATACAAGTGAGAACCACGAAGATCAAACATCCTGCCCATGGTGGAAGTGGTCCTATGGATGCAAGCATCTGAACAGAGGGTAGGATGTTCACGGCATTCCAGCCGCAGCAAGAGATCACATTAAAGAGGGCAAATACTCTTCCCATGATGTTTCCTGTGAAGTATCTCGATAAAATCTGCTGTCTGAGACCAAACTTGGCACCAAAAGTAGCATAGAAGCCCACAGGCATCGATCCAATGATGGACCAGAACACAATCACCAAAACACACGTTCTGAAATCAAGATTGTAAAAGGTTGGCCCCAACATGCCCGTACTTAGAGCGGCGATGGACATGTTGGGGGAGAGGAACATAGTGAGTGGAGAGGTCCAGTTTCTATCATTTCTCTTGTCTTCAGGGACTCTTTCCACACCTCTGATCTCTGCTTTAAACTTGAGACCTATGCGATCCAAGAAGTTGGTACCTTCTTCGAGTCTCCTCTCCCTCTCATCGTGCTCGTACACCTCCTCCACTGGTTGGCTCTCGAGGCTTGTGATTTCCTTGGTATCATCTGCAAGTGGTTTCTCGGCAGGTTTTGACATATTCACAATGGGTGATTTTGAACAAGCCAAAATGAAAAACTAAAGGGCCTCTAACGAATTTAGGCCTTATCTTAGCTTAAATTACCATGGAAAATTTTATCTCGAGTGCAGCTAGAGCCGTGCGCCGCTGCATCTCTGATGATAACACCATGCAAGTAGACGGTCCGAAGAAAATTTCCATTTGAAGGAAGTGAAAGATCTGCTTCAGCGGGAGCTGGAAGCGGGGACATGTTGCAGCAGGTGAACCCAAAGGAACTTAATTTTTATGTTCAAATGCTATCCATAGTGGGGTGTCTGATAAGGCATTAGCATGTAGCAGGTGAGACTCGCACGGCACTTCCGTTCTACGCATTAGCTGATATGCCAACGACAATGGCACAAAAGCGCATACTTTTTAGACTTGGGAGGCGATGCGGTCTTGAAGCTTGTAGCTTACCATGCTGGATCTAAAAGCTTTTTCGGATGCAAATAGGGACGGAATTTTGTCTAGTGAGGTCTCATCCCGATAAGGTTCCTGAATGTTAGATGTACTGCGGGACCCCGACATCATTCTCGGGAAGATATGCCCCACCCAACCCCATGCTAAAAATGCCATTTTTGATAAGGTTTGCCAAATCTGACAAATATTGTGAACTCTTCTTGAAAGCGGGTTAACTAGCAACTAAATCACACCAGCAGAGAAGTGTCACTTCTAGAGCAAACGCTTCCTAGCCAAGAGATCTAGCCACTTGTGGTTTCCATGACCTTTTCGAGGTAAAGATTTCTTCGCTTCTTAATTCCAAACCTAAACGTGAATGTTTGGTGTTTAGGCCCCGTCTACTTCACCTTTAGTCTAATGGCTGCGAATAGTGCGCATCACTTCCTCATCACCATCTGTCCGCACTGATTCAAGACTGCCATGTCCTCCGTTCCCGAGCAGGACCTATCGCTCTTTGCCGACCATTCCATACTTCCTGATTCTTTTCTTAAACTCAAACCTTCTCAATTGGGCATTATAGGCCATGTTCAGGGAACAAGTCCAGCATGGCTTGTGAGTTCGCTCATGGAGAATGCCATTTTGGGCACCGCCATCACCACGAATAGAGATATCAACAAGAAGATCCCCAACAGGAGCCATGTGGTTTACATCTCATTTACAAACACAAAGAGCTTTGTGGTGAAGAATAGCAGGAAGAATGGCATGAACTTGGATAACGAGAAGAACTTCACCTTCATAGATGGACTCACAGACCTCTTCTCGAAACACATCCCGGATGCTAGAAATAGTAAGTCATCCATCGACAAGTATCTTGATGACTTGAGGGCAAAGGTAGAGGAGGTACAGCATGAGCTGAGGATTATCATCTTGGAGAATCCCGAGATCCTCCTCGCTGCAACAAACTATGACAGCAATAGCCTAATTTACTTCATTCTGTCTTTACAAGTGATCAGCAATTCGATCTTCGTTGTCATTAATGCCGAACCATCGCTCATCAACTTTGACGCCACTATGTCCGCAGACGTTGTGACAAAAGTGACCGACTTTTTCGTAAAGCTCTTTCACAAATCCTCCATCAACATCAATCTCCTGCCACTTGCTACTGGTAGAGCAGAAGATATTACTGGATGCTTGACAATATCTAGGGGCGCCATTCCATCTCCGACGGCTGTGGCTGAAAATGAATTTGTCTACAATATCAACAAGGATTCCAATGTTAAGCTCTTCTTCCGTTAATTCCTTTGAACTTATTTTCTCCGTTTCCGGTGGAGACTATACAAGTCATCCAATGCAAATTCGATTGAGCACCTAGTCCAAAGAAGTGGGTAGAGAGGCCACACTGACCGCTCACCCACAAGAATCCAGTAGGGTATGTTCTCCATTGTTTTGTGGACATCAAAAACACGACCAATGTCACGAAGTAAATATCTCAACTCGGGAACAATGGTGATCTCTCTCGAATTAGTTGAAAATTTAGCAGTTGAAGGCTTTTCATCGATACAAAGTCGCTTAACGATCTCCGGTAAGAGTCCCAACTTGTTCATAACGTCAAGTCTATGCTGAATTTCGAGACCAATAACATTCTTGAGGTGCTTTCGGAAATTGTAGGAAGAATCTTTTGTAAGAACATCAATGTGTGAAGCCGATGATTTCGGTTTCTCAAGCTTTTTCGTATCGTCATTCCAGAATATATTAAGAGCGTCGTCGCTGAAGCGAAGCTTCCCGTAGGCATTATGATGCTTGAGATCGTTGCTTATGAGGGGTGCAAGGTAAGGCCTCACCAAACTGGTGATGAAATGGTTCACGTTAAAAAGCTCCGTGAGTCTGGTGTACGGTGAACTTTCTGCTGGTGCAGAGAACAAGCTGGTTTCCAGATCTTTCTTCTTGTGACCAAAGTAGTGCTGCTGGTAGCTGACATCCTGTGGCTTCAAGAACGAGATTTCTAACTCTGGAGCCATCGGAACAATTTCGTTTTTAAGATCCTTGACGTAGAGCTGTACGCTATCTGAAAGGACTCCAGTGCCGATAGATGCATAGATGGCTGTCCATATGATGACGTTAGGGGCTGTGATGTAGTTGAGTAACGAAGGAATCGATGGATGAGTTGGGTGCACCACGATATTAAGGATCTTTTCCGTTTTTAAGTATGCCTCCTCAAACGTCAAATCACCTATGGTGTCTCTGACAAACTTGAGGAAGACAAGGATATCCTGAGAGTACCCCTTGCGGACCACATTCTCAATAACGTTGCCGTATCTCTCATCAACATCATGGTTCAAGGTATCAACATTGCCCATAACATCTGTGATGGATACCAAAATCGGTATGAGCTCCACATCAGTGAGAGAGCACACTAATGCTGCTACCGCGGCTCCAACAGCACTCCCGCCGATGACCCGAGGAAGCAAACCCTTGAAATACAATGCACGAACAACACCAAGGTGGCATAAGCCGAATAAAGAGCCACCTTGTAAAATCAAACCGGTGCATCCAAATGACTGCCTTGCGTCATGGAAGAAATCGAGCTTGAGCTGCTTGCTGTTCATGATGTAGTCGTTGCTAGCACGCTCAGCATGGATGGAGTCATAAAGGTAGTTAAGGCAGTCTAGTACTTCAATGATATACTCTTGGATCTTGAACTTGGTGCCCAAGTAGGCTTTCGTATAGAGTCTCTTCTGAGCAATACCACCGAAATTGCGGAGAAGCCCGGAACGAAGTAACGACATCAAAAGGGATGCATCCTCGTTAAGCCTAGCTTCACGAAGTAAAGACATCCTCTCATTCACGAGCATATAGTCGTAGTGCTTGGATATGAAGTTCTGGCGCCAGATGTCCATGTTCGTGAGTCTGTCAATCTCGGTCACGATGGCTTTCCATTCATTATAGTTCTCCACGGACTTGAGCTGTTTTAAGGCTTCATTCAAGCTGTCCTTTCTGGTGTGCCAGTGATAGATCTTCCGGACCCAGAATAACCACACATCTAGGACAAAGTCGATGAGTACCCAGACAAAGCCTGGGGTATGGTTCACGACAAACGCAAATATCGGCAATACAACATAGCCTATATAGCGCCGTAGCATGGTTTTGTGTGTTTAGCGGTGGTGAAAAGTGCTGGTCTCGTAAAATGTAAAAATACTTCTATTATATATTATCTAGTTTGGCCGAGGCCATGTGACAAGCAGCTGGAACTGGTTCGCATACTTCCATTTATGCGCACCACTTGCAACCAGCATCGCTCAATGAGCCTTATGTCTGTTATAGGACAAGAAAGTGGCCAAAATACCGACATCGTAGAGGACCTTCAAGGAACCAGCCATGATAAATGTGATCCACTGAACACCCTCGCCGGTCAAGTAGCCCGCGATTGAAGGACCGAACATCTGTGCCATTGTCTTAACAATGTTAGTCCAGCCGAACACGGCAGTTCTGTAGTCAGCAGGCACCAAGGTAGCAAGGAAAACGTGCTTTGGAGCAACGTCCATGGACTGAGTGGAGGCACGAATCAACATGATGGCCAAGGTGACAGACAAGGATTTTGGAAGAGGAAGCAAAATCAACATAGCCGAGGCTGGCAAGTGAGTGACAACCATGGTGACGACTGGACCCAATCTCTTGGTGAATGAGGTACTCAAGAGAGATGCAAAGCCAGCGATGAAAAATGTAATGAAAAAGATGGTACCGAGGGTGGTGGAGCTCACATCGAACTTGTGTTTGATATAGTAAGTGAGCCACGAGCCTTGAACCAAGGAGGAAGCGAAAGCGTCAAGTCCAAAAAGGAAGGACAATTTGAGAACAATTGATAAAATGTCTTTGCTCAACTCGGGGAAGAGTCTCCACTTTGGCTTGGCCTTTGGAATCAACTCCAGGGTCTCATTGGACTCCACAGGGCCATCCTGCGTTTCAGCAGAAGTGGCAGCAGCCTCACCAGCAGCCTGTTCAGCTGATGGCTTTGGCTTATGGGTCACCTCCATTCTTGGTGTCAAGAAAAGACACGAGAGGAGGCAAATGACAGACAAGACACCAAAGGCAGTGAAAGCGCCCTTGTAAGCCTGCAAAGCAGTCAAGTGCCATTGGGCCTGCAACAAGTCAACGAAGGAACCACACACAAAGGAGCCCAAGGCAGATGAAAAGGTTCCCAAGAAGGTGTACCAGGCGTAAATGTCAGATCTCTCATCGTGGGGCACCAAAGAGGCGATAGCACTCTGTTCAATGGATCTGAATGGGCCCACCTCACCGCCACCAGGAGTCAAGATACCCAATGCAGCAACAGCAGCCAAAACATAGAAGTTGTCGAAGTAGGCGATACCGAAGCAGGTGAGGGCCATAAGAGCGGAACTCAAGGTTAAGGTGAACTTTCTGCCCAAACCATCCGCAATCAATGAAAACAAGAAGGACTTAATCAAGTCACCAAAGAACGCCAAGGTCATGAAGTAGCCAATGGTGGCTTCATCAATACCAAGTTCCTTAAGAAAGATGACCAAAATCAAGGAGGTAGCACCGAAACTCAATAACCTCACCATTCTCATGAAGATAATGAGGTAAACGTCTAGGCCACCGTTGACCAACGTCTTGAGTCCGACCTCGTCCGCGATGAATTGCAAGCTTCCCATGGTTGACGTACTATATTGGAAAGCTCCGGGGAGCAGATGTATTTATACCAGCGAAAATTCAGTATGATGAACCGAATGAGGGCAACCGCCGGCCAAGGCTCATATGCACGCGCAGCACAAATCTCCTGCACCAAAACCCGTCAACCGAACCAGTGCGTTGCTCCCAAAACGGCCAAAGCACCGAGAATATATCAATCCTTTCGAAATCCATCGAGGTGGAAAATGTAGAATCAAACTCTACCAAGATTAGCTATTCAATCGCAGCTTTTATGTCCGTCCATTTTTCCAAGAAAATAGCCGCCCATGAGGCTCAATCAATAGGGGTAACTGGTCACACCCTTCATAACCACTAGTACAAAGACTGCGAAAGATGCATCTCGGACCACGATGCCGAAGCCTCATGTCCATTCGCGCAATATTTGTTCTTATAGTCTTGAACTAGTAAGCAGTTGAATGGCCAGATTCCATGCGGCACCTCTGCAAGACATCTTCTTTCTGTCATGTCAAACTTAATTGAAATAAAGAAGTTTATTCAGAATGCGATCTCGGGAATACTTTTGGAGTTCATTTGCTCCTCGGCAAATCCTGTCAATCCTTGGCTTGAAGACTACATCACTCCATGACCACGTTTTTCATCTCATTTGACTTCTCCTCTCGTTATCAGATCTCGACCAGAGCAGGGCTATCCATACACGCGATGCCCATCTCTGGGCCAGTGTCACGTGCACAGGTGCACGTGCGAACGATGCCTGGAAAATTGCCTGCCATCGAAAAGACCTTTTGATAGAGGTAGCATTACAACAATTCATCGCCATGTCGTCGTCCAGGCAAAGAGTGCAACAGGCGCGTGCGCCCGTGTTGCCTGCTAAAACGACCCCAGAGCAAAAATACTGGCGTGGGTTTTTAAATCCACAGCTCATCAAGGAAAACCATCCCATCACCCACATTCACTTCAACCCAGTTTCTCCACACGACTTCGCCGTTACATCTTCCACGAGAATCCAAGTGTTTTCTTCAAAAACAAGACAAGTTACAAAAACCTTCTCGAGATTTAAAGACACCGTTTACTCGGGTGAGTACAGATATGATGGTAAGCTTTTGGTCGCGGCCGATGCCCTGGGACTAGTCACTATATTCGACGCATACCAGCCTCGTAATCTCCTTGTCAGTCTATCACCATCATCGCATCCTTCTCATGTGGCCAGATTCCACCCTACAATCGGTAACCAGCTTGTCACTGGTTCGGATGACCGAGTGATGAGAGTGTACGACATATCTCAAAGCACCAGTGGGCCTTTAGTTGAGTTCGATGATACTCACCACGACGATTATATCAGAAGCTGTGCTTTTGTTCCAGGAAACCCGAACTTGATCTCCACCGGTTGTTACGATGGTGTTGTCAGACTCTTTGACACCAGACAACCCGATCCTGTCGCCAAATTCGACCAAGGAAGCCCAGTAGAAGATGTTTTGGCTCTTTCACCAACCACTCTTGTCAGTGCTGGTGGTCCACAAGTCAAGGTTTGGGACTTGGCGAGAGGTTCACAGATCCGTGAGTTCACCAACTTCACCAAGACGGCGACTTCTTTGCACGATGCTGGAAACAGAGGTTTGCTCGTTGGTTCGCTTGACGGTCATGTTAAAATTTTCGACTACAGCTCGCCAAATTGGGATGTCAAATTTGGCTGGAAGTTCGGAAGTGGTGGTGTCTTGTGCACTGCCGTTTCGCCTAACTACAAGCATTTTGCAACAGGATTGACTTCCGGTCTTCTTTCTATCAGAACGAGGAAAACCGAGCCCAAAAAGTTGCAGCAGAAACAACAGCACAGTCTTTCATATGCCAGAGCCATCAAAGGTAATGACTACACAGGAGATGAAGGTGCTCAGGTTGTGTCTACCGCAGGTACTGGTCCCAAAAAGATCACTGCTTACGAGAGAAACCTCCGTGCTTTCAGGTGGGCTGAAGCTCTAGACGTCGCTGTCAGTGGGGATTATCCAAAAGACCAGGTTGTTACTGTTTTGCATGAATTGAAGAAAAGAGGTAAGATTAGGGCAGCATTATATGGTAGGGATGAAATCTCCTTGATGCCCATAGTGCAATGGTGTATCAAGAACCTTGAAGACGTGAGATTTTTCAATATCATCTGTGACTACCTTGCTGTTATTCTTGAAAGTTACGGTCACTTGCTCAGCAGAAGTGTTGCTCTTGAGGAGGCTTTTAACACTTTGTCACAGCGCATAAGACTAGAGGTGAGGAAATGCAAGGATGCTAAAGAAATGAGTGGCATGTTGGAGTTGTTGGCGATTTGATAATAAATAGACGGCATTATGGAAAATCAAGAGACGTGTTTAGCGTAGATCACCAATTCTTCCGTCTCTTCTTGTTCTTCTTCTTCGTTTCGGGAATGGCCTGTTTTTTTTGCCGGCAATCTTCAGAACAATACCATTTTTGTGTTGTATACTTAAGCGCCTCGACACGATTGAGAAGACCGACACACTTGTAGTGAAACCATTCACCGTTTGGACACTTCTCATTGTCGCAAGCTATCATATCTCCGAAAGACGGTTGCTTGCAAAAACAATAAGCCTCCTCGGGTTCTGCTGCGGGCTCGATTGCTAATTCGGGTTCTGGCTCTGGATTAGGCTGTGGGATAAGCCTTTTGAGTCTTGGTTTAGGTTGTTTGATGTTGAGCCTCGACGGCCTCGAAGGGACCTTGGCATCAGCAGTTATAGCTGAGATCTCTCGTAGACTCAGACTCTCATCTTTCCGGGGCCTTCCCCTCTTTCGTATCACTCGTGGCTCATCGTGTTTTGAAAGCTTGAGAATGAGCTTGATTCCTGAAGAATCCAGCCTCTTCTTCTCCTTTCGCAAAGCCTCCGTTTGAGAGGGGAGCGGATGGCTCTTGTAATGTTCTTCAAGCTGCTTTCGTAGTGACTCGGCACTAGAATCATCTTTGGTAGCAGGTGCCTCGGCGACCTTCTCTAGTTGCAAAATCTCATCTTTGAGCATACCTTCGTGAGATCGTAGTTGACGATGCAAGGCGTTCATTTCCTCGGCGGCTTCTTCAGATAAACTGATTATTCTTTTTCTCAGCTGGTAGTATTGCCCAGCACCGACTCTTTGCGTTTCGTTCCCATGCTTTGCGAATAGTTGATTCAACTTCTCCTCCTCCTTCTGGACAGCCAAATTACAAGACTGGACTAGCCATAATGATCTAACGATATCACAAGGTAGATGATCTACCGTTGAAATATATGTGCTGTAAAGAGACCCCGAATTCAGGATCACCAGGGACATTGGGGCCAGTTGATAGATCGCAGATGTGTTTACCAAATCGCGCACATAGGTCTTCGCGGTTACAGTACTACACAGACAAGTTGAGTATACCTATGATTAAAATATACAAATCCTAGAAAATGGATCCCAAGCGCGCTTAGTTCTCCAAGTCCTTCTTCAAGGTACCCAAGAAAGCTCTCTTCTCGGCTGGGGTCTGGAATCTACCCTTACCGAACTTAGAAGCAGTGTCGATCCACTTAAGGTTGACCTTCTCAAGAGCTCTTCTGGAGGTGTCAACGTACAAGGACTTTCTCAAGGTGACAACTCTCTTCTTAACACCTGGGATGGAACCCTTGACCATGACGAAATCGTTGTTAACGTTACCGTATCTAACGAAACCACCCAATGGGTTGATGGTCTTGGCGGTTCTGTCGAACTCGGTAGAACCAGAGTTCTCCTCGGAACCGTTACCAACTCTGTAGACCTTGTGGTTGATAGAGGTTCTGTGGTGGTAACCGTTCTGACCAGCTCTTGGGACAGTCCAGTTAACGTTAGCTGGGTGCCAGGCACCGATACAAGCAACCTTTCTCAAACCTCTGTGGGTCTTTCTTGGCAACTTCTTGGTACCCCATCTGTGGGTAACACCCTCGAAACCGTGACCCTTGGTGACAGCGACGACATCGATCATCTCGTTCTGCTCGAAAACGGAGTCAACGGAGACCTCCTTCTCGAAGTGCTCCTTGGCCCAGTTGACCTTGTCCTCGGTGGAACCACCGTTGATCTGGATCTCAGCGAGGTGAGCCTTCTTCTGAGCCAATGGGGTCTTCTTGATCTGGGTGTGGACAAGAACTCTGACGACAGTGGCGTACTTGGTGATTCTAGCCAACTCCTTCTGGATCTCCTCACCGTTCTTAGCGTACTTGGCGGAGTACTTGGTGAAAGCCTTCTTCTTGGACTTGTACCAGTTCTTGTAGAATCTTCTCTTGACCTCCTCAGAAAGGTGCTCAGCCCAGACGGTGGTCAAAGATCTCAAGCCTCTTGGGGTCTCGACGTAACCGACGACACCAACAACAACCATTGGTGGGGTGTCAACAACGGTGGCAGCCTCGACGATCTCACGCTTGTGCATCTTAGAACCTGGTCTGTCCAAGTCTCTGACGATGGTGGTCATACCAGCCTTGTAACCCAAGAAGGCGGTCAAAGCGACTGGCTTGGACTTGACATCCTTAGGGAAAGACTTAACCTTACCTCTAGAGTTGGCAGCTCTCTTTCTTGGGAGGAAACCCAAGGAACCGTGTCTTGGCTCTTCGTACTTTCTGTGAGACATTTTAGTTGTGTTGTGTTGGAGTAAAGAGGAGGGAAGCTGTGTGAAAAAAAAATTTTATACAGTGAGGGTACTCGCAGAATTTTCCGGGCGGGTAACCCCAAACTCACTTTTGAAAAAAACAGTCACGTGAAGTCGTGCGGGTGACAAAGTCTACCTTGACTACCGAAGCGGCCATGGCTTGTGTGGCTCAGCAGCATATTGTGAGCATTGCAGTGTTTCCTTTTGAATCTCATAATATAAGTGCTTCAGACGGACTAGCTACATTTATTTGTTATTGGCTCTCAACGGTATTCTTTTTTCTAGGCTATCGGTGCAGCTGAGCTGCAAGGCAATACCTCTTCTGCGCATTGCCATGCATATCGAGGCGTTGAAGCGAGTTCTGCTACATGAGATGAACTAGGGTTATGAAAACAGTACTAAGAGGTGGTTTATTATTATGTACTCACAATTGTAACTCTTTTTCTCTTTTTTTTTCTTTTTCTTTTTGCTTTTCGGTCTTCACCGTAAGCTATACTCTCAAAAAAGCAGGTATTATTTTTACGAGTGAGCCAAAGAGCCTTTACCGCTTTACAAAGAACGAACTTAACGATAGTGTATTACTTTCCTCTATTGAATGCTTTGCGGAGAGCTGCACGAGCATCTCCTTCGTCAGATGACGAGCTCTTTGGTGACGAGTCTTGAATTCCAAGTAATTCTCGGGTATCGATAGCATGCGCCAGGCCTCCATTGAGTCTGGAATACTGGTGCATATCCAATTGGGGATTCAAGAAAGATTGTTGCAGTGACAAGTTCCTTTTCTGCTGTGGTGAGTTGATATTCATCATCAGATACATCATGGCATTGAACTGTGGTGTAAGGTTAAATGCCAAGTCCCCGCTAGGAGCACTACTATCCGTTTGCATGAAAATTGGGGTCTCACTGTAGGCAATGCCACTGCTTTGGGGTGTCTGGGGGACAATGAGCTTGTCAGGCAGTGAGTCTGTTTCCGACCCAGAAACGAGAGTGGCATACGAAGGCAACATGGGCTTCACAGGTTCTGAAAGCTTTCTCTTGTTGAAGTCGTTTGGTACCTCTTCCTTGTATGAGTGGTGCCATGCCTCGATACCGATGGCAGTGTTCAGGTGAAGCAAAGCGGAAGGCCGAGTCATTTCATGAGGAAGCTCTGCGAGATGGTCTGACATTGACTTCGACCCAGACATGCCTTTGTTCGACAAGGCAGCTTTGCCCTTCTCGTCAACGACAAGCTGGAACAGGAATGAGTCGTCATCCACGTAGCTCATAGTACCTGACAGACTTTCCTTAGACCCGTCCGCATTGGTGCTCTTCTCCTGTGATGTCCTAATGATTTGTGCGGTAAGTTTCGCCAGCGAGCTACCGTTTTTATCATATGGCTGGTGTTTAGGAGGTGTGGCTAGCGAGTAATTTGAACTAGGATGCTGCTTGGAATCACCCTTTGTGATGAGTGACAAGTTTTCCAAAGTCTTAGCATTCACGTACAGACTCGGCCCACCGTTGACCGAAGACAAAGACATTGGAGTTAAAAGTGGCTCTTCAGAACCCAAGTCGGTGCTCTGGCTCGCCACAGACCGTTTGCTGGGCGAGTCGTCGATGTCCGAGTGGTAATTACTCTTCCGTCTGCGTTTCCTTGAAGAAGGGTTAGACGGTGAAACTTTCATCAATGGGGTGAAAGCGTCTGGTTCACCCATTTTCACCATCATGTTCGAGTTGGACTCTGCAGTTGGCGAACCCGACTCAGGAGAGGTCTGAAACTGCAACGTGAGGGTGGGAAATGCTTCAGGCAGCTTGTTATGCTTTGGAGGTCTTCCACGTCTCCGTTTGATGGGCTCCTGGGGCCTCATTGGCGACGAATCTGGCATGGAAGCTAACATGTAATTTATTCAAGTATAGGGGGAGTGGAATATATTCGGGGTGTATGCAACCGTAGGGAATGAACTGAAGAAATAAAAGCTTTAGCAGGTTGTGGTGGTAAAGGGTAAGCGAAAATAAGACAAGTAAAAACCCCAGTAGGTGGATGAGACAGGGGATGAAAATGCAGCTTCGACTGTGGTGAATGAAAACAAGCCTGGCCGCCTTGTGGGAAAAAAAAAAATAACCCTGGAGAAGCCGATTCAGACGCCGGAGTGCACAAGAGCGGACGTGGAGCCAGACCGTAATAGAAAAAATTGCAGAGAATGAGACTTCTCACAGTGAATGGCCCTTTATGTCGAGCCGCTTATTTGAGTCCACATGCGCTTTGGCCATAACGTCAAGCACCAGGTAAAAAAACGTTCGAGAACCAAGTCGGGTGTGCAATTCTATTTAAACGTATGCGCTTTCACTACGTCAAGCGGGTACGTCACCCATCGATGGGATTGCGAGAGAGATTGGCCATGATATACTGTGCTTAATTCTATGACGTCTAATCTCTTCGGATTTTGAAACATTCCGAAAAATCCAGGCAAAGTCTTATCTTTGTGGCTTCATGCTCGCGAAGAAACGTTGCTGTCATTGCCGCGCCATGCACGTAATTTGGCTGTTTTGGGAAGGGATATGATTTTCTCCTGGGCGAGGGCCCGAAAAAAATTCAAGATAATGGACTCACAAAAACAGCCCCTTTAGAGTAACTAAGAACAAGAGGAGCGAAGATATACCACAAAAGCGAATGTCAAACAAGGGAGAGTACGCGACATAGCAAGCTCTTTGTCTCGTTCTCCTCTTTGTTTTGCTCCACTTTTCGGGGACTTCCCACTCTTGTTTAGTTCACATTCCTTCAGATTTCCCAAACAGTAAAAATCCTTTCGCGTATGCTGGCCATTCCGAGGTTGTCGCATTTGGCGTCTCGGTCATTGTCAGATCTCAATACGCATTTACCCCTTGATGCTGAATTTCAGATATACATACTAAATTTTTCACCTCTTGCCTTTACTTTTTGTTACTTTGATTTCTTTTCGTCAATGATTGCTTCAATGACCACGCATGTCGCACACGTCGTTTTCTCGCACGCTCTCGTTTACTAGTCGCATCGCTTAGCTCGTAAACAGCCTTTATAAAGCACCTGAGACAAGCTCACTTTTGCCAACGCCAATGTCTAAATTGAACCCAGTCACCCAACACAAAGAGTTCTTTGGCGTTCCAGGCGCTTTGGGTATTGCCACATTTTTACCCTTCATCTTGGTGTTCTTCTACGCCGTGTGCAATGAGCAGTACTCTATCAAGGGCATTCTGCTTGATCTCAACAAAGTCATCGAACAGATCCCCCAAAATTGGGCAGAGTGGAAGGATTTATGTTTTGACTCAACTGTGTGGACAGCTTACTTGACTTGGTTTTTTGTGCTTGCCGTGCTTGATGTCTACTCCCCAGGCAAGGACATGGATGGTATCGAGCTTCGTGACGGCACGCACTTGCCATATAGAATCAATGGTGTCTTCATGAGTGGGACATTGATTGTCTTGCTCCTTGCAAGATTGTTTGCATCTCCAGACTACTCCCTTCCAGAATTGCAATTCCTTTACGACAACCAAGCCAAATTGATCTTCGTTACCATCATCTATTCGTTCATCGTGTCCTTCTTCGTCTACTTTATTTCATTTATCCCATTGCGTGGAAAAAATGGTCTTGGTACCAAAGAAAGAATTCTTTCGATTAATGGAAACTCTGGTAACCCCATTTACGATTGGTTCATTGGTCGCGAGTTGAACCCCAGAATTGGTGCTTGGGATATCAAGTTGTTCTGTGAATTGAGACCAGGCATGCTCTTGCTTTTCTTGATTAACTTGTCTTGCATCCACAACCAGTACCACAAGTTTGGCAAGATCTCAAACTCATTGGTTCTTATCAATTTCTTGGAAGCGTTCTATATCTTCGATGGTGTGCTCAACGAAGAGGGATGCTTGACCATGATGGACATTGCCACAGATGGCTTCGGTTTCATGCTTGCTTTCGGTGATTTGGCATGGCTTCCCTGGTCGTATTCCTTGCAATGTCGCTACCTCTCGTTGGAAGGTAATGCCGTTGATTTGACGCCAATCCAAATTGGTTCCATCTTAGCACTCAGCTTCTTCGGGTACTACATTTTCCACTCTGCTAACCAACAGAAGTCTGATTTCAAGCAAGGAAAGCTCAATCACATGAAGAGTATTTCCACTCCAACGGGATCTAAATTGCTCGTTGATGGCTGGTGGAAACTCTCGCAGCATATCAACTACTTCGGTGATTGGCTTATTGGGTGGTCATGGTGTTTACCCACCGGTACACAGACTCCATTCACATACTTCTACGTGGTTTACTTTGCCACGTTATTGGTGCATAGACAAACTAGAGACGAGGCCAAGTGCAGAGCCAAGTACGGTAAAGCCTGGGAGGAATACGAGAAACAGGTTCCTTACAAAATCGTACCTTACGTTTGGTGATATAATTATCTAGATACTAATTTACTCGGTCTTCTTCTCATAGTCGACCTGCTTTTCGAATGACTTGTATGTCACTTGGATAGAGGTGATCCATCCAAGCGCTGTGTTCAACACGTATATCAAGAACAAGGAAACAATCAAGCACAGCCAGATCCCTGGGGTGAAAAATTGATATTTGGTGAAAAGGTTCGAGGTTGTGTTAGCGTTAACTTTTGACTCCTTAATTCCAGAGGAGATTTCTTTGTCGTCAGCCAAAGCAGTCACGAATGAGTCGCCCTCCTCGTGAGCAATCATGGACTCAGCGGCTCTGAAAGCAGACTCAACCTCCGCGTATGCTGCAACATCTTCTTCAGCATCCTCCTCCTCTCTTTTGGCCCAGCCTTGTTGAAAGTCACCCATGTATCCCTTGATTCCTGCCATAATTGAGCGAGACTTTGCGCCTGAAGGTTTACCCTGAACGATCATCTTGACCCCTTTCTCGAGAAGCTCATTGGGGGTATATTCTGACTCGTCATCCAAGTCGGCAACGTAGATGTTGCCAGCGGAAATCTCCTGTGGGAGGCTGGTACTGTAATGTACCTGGCACGAAGAGTGCAATGCTAAGTCCAATTGCTTGGATGATTCATATCTAACATTCGTAGACACTTTTGCTAAATCCAGAGATTCCTTGGAAAGATTCTTGACACGAGCGATTACCAATGGAAGGTGTTGCAGGTCAGAGCACAACTCCTTGGTGAGGCTGTCCACTTGCGAGGACACATCATGAACATCCGTGAGGTAGCGATCCTGGAAGAATGCCTCATTGGCATACATAGGGGCCGTGTTGACAAATGCCATTGCAGCGCTTGCGCAGAGCGCAACACTGGTGATAAGCTTCATAGTTGGTCGGTGCCGATAGTGAGAAGAAACATGTTGATCAGGGAAATTGCCAACTGCCATGGAAGTCACGTGATACGGATTTGTTGGAGCCATATTTATTACCCTGGGCTACAATTCTATTAACTTCGTCATGAATTTTAGAACATTTACTTTCAAATTCACTCGAGAACGAATTTTTGTATTTCAATGACCTTTTGCTTGAGGGTGGGTCTGCTGTTCACTAGACTGGAGTGCATGGGGCTTCCCGAATATCTACTCGGTCTACAGTGAGCTACTCTTCTTAAACGAACTTAACTATGGCTGTCGATGTCCCAGCGTATGTTAATTAAATTTGTGTGATGTTGGAAGTAACTGCTGCTTCCGATTTGCGTCATGTTTTAAACAAAACTAACAAACAGCTCAGTTGTGAGGAAGCTTCTAATGTTCACCGCCGCCATGGTGTTTTTGCCACTTGTAACGTTTTTCACGGTTCAGTATTTATTCAGTGGTAATCCATTAGTCAGTGGTGGCTCTGCAGCTGTTGCTGCAAATGGCGTACTCATCGCATACATCGTTGTCGCCTTCTCTGAAGACACCTCTGACGAATCATCAGAGAAGAGTGAACCCAAGAAGGACATCTAGTGATGATCTTGTATCACCTATGATGTTTCCACTTACGTTTTGTATAATAAGTAATATTAAAGAAATACAGGAAAAGGTTCAATGGGTTATAAACAGATGTAGCACTTGGACAAGACCTTTAGTAAGCTCAAGAAAACAGATGAAATCCTATTTCGAGTTTATTAAAAGAGTTGCATGCTTTTGATTCGTGCTACCAAGTAAATGGTAAACTTCATCGGGTTGAATTTTGTATCTACTGAACAGCCGTACTCACTCACCAGTTCACAAATTTGCCGAGCGATGCACAATTCTTGCCAAATATCAAAATCTTGTGAATAAAAACTACCTCCAAACCAGGTATCACCTTCAATGTAATTTCAGAATTAATGACCTACGGATGGCACTTAGTTAGCCTAATATCCTCTCGAGGCCTTTGCTAGATCTGGTGGTGTTCGCCTTGTCTGGGGTATCGAGCGCGATACTGAACATTTGAATTCGAACTACTTCACTCTTGCCATGGTTCATCAATTACTACTATGTGCTAGCATATTGCAACAAAATTACATTCAGACAGTATCCACACTACAAGCTTTAACAGGAGTACTTGATCCGCAAGAAACTGCGACGTATACCCTCCTAACTAAACCTCATAACATATTCAAGCCCAAGTTTGAGCCGGGAAAGGTCAATCAAATCGAGCAATATTATATGAGATGTACGACAACTTGGAATGATTCAGCCGCTCAGGAATTGAACCTATCAAAGCCCATAATACCCGGCAAGTCAGATATACGCGTGGAGAGACTTTTCTCCGGGAAAGAAGTGAAACACTGGACTTTACAAGTGTCAGATATACCTAATGCCGGGAAGAACCCAGTACTGGCTCAAAATTTTTATGAGAGCACTTTAGTACATCACCACACAGCTAGGCGAGTGGCCGAGAAAAAAGAGAGCAAAGACATTGCACAGAAAAAGGAGGGATCGCAAGGCGGAGATGCCCCACAAGCCAAGGATAACGAATCTGATCTCATGGAGATTGATCCTGAAGATGCCTCAAAAAGTACAGAGTCCAAGGCTACTACCAATAACGATGCGCAGCCTCAAGACGCAGTGAAGGAGGAGGAGGAGCAACCTATCGATATAAAGGATTCATTTCTCCAATTCCTCGAAGAACTTGGGTATGATGTTGTCAATCAGTATTGGTCAAAGGGTATAAGATTCTTTCATGGGGACATTGTCATTGAGATATTTAAAATATTCGTGAGAGACGACGACCCAGAGGCATCATCGGCCGATCTGGGCATCAAGCTCAAGCTCTTGGACGAGTCTAATACCTTCCAGATCAAAGCATTTATCAATTACCCTAAAGGCACCAGTGTTGACCTAATTAATCAGGGAACAAAGAGCTTGGTAAAGATAAAAGAGCTCTTGCACAATCTTTTTGAACTAGATGTTCCCGACAGGATGTTCATGGATGCTCGTGTTAATAGAAACAAGTAATGTACAACCGCTTCATTGCCCACCAAACTTTATGGTATTGCGAAATGCCTCATGATTGAAACCTGTTTCTCCCTTCTCGGGGTCAACTTGCTTCTTCACTTGCTCAACTTGCTTTAATAAATGCTTCAAAGTAAGGGGTTCTGGCGCTTGATGATCAGAAGCTAAGAGTCTAAACATTCTATTATTATTGGCACGTCTCTCGCCATGGCTCATTCCTGGATCGTAGAGCTCATCAATGAAGCCAACCTGTGTTCTCAATGCATCTTGTATCTTCTTGAATAGGTCTGGAGAGATATTGTGAGGAAGACCAGACTGTTTTAGAAGTTTCAGAACCAATTCTGGAGTGATGTCTTCTTCGATGGTGTCGGGATTCGGGATTGCTTCGCTCACATTCCAGGATGGTGTGTTTATAAGTTTTTCTAAATCTTCACGACTGTTGATCTTTGAGTATATCTTGCCACGAAAAACAGTTCTTGATGTAGCTAGATGTCTATAAGCGTATCTTGAAAGCATTGTGGGATGGATATGAGTGGTTTCTCAGCGCGCTCTACAGGTCGCAATTATGAACCTAATTCGATATAGTATACATGCTTCTTAGTTGCGAAAGCTCTATTTCTTGTTCAACTTCTCCAATTGCTTCTTCGTCTTCTCGATCTGCTTTCTCTTTTTGGTCAACAGTTCAGTTCTGTTGTCCTTCTTCTCAATACCGTATTGCATCTTGTTGTACAACTTCTTCTGTTTGTTGGACATCATGATCTTCTTCAACTCCTTCTCCTCCTCTTCAGCAGATTTAGCACTTCTCTTTCTCTTCTTGTCTTGCTCCTCGGATCTATCAGAGAACTTCACACCTGAAGCCTCCAACTCCAATTCTCTTTGTTCACGAGCGGCCTCATCTTCCTCCTCGATGTCTTCCTCATCGTTTGCATCCACCTCTTCATCAGACTCCTCTCCCTCAATGTCATCAGTGATAGCGGCATCAGGGTTGTAGGCACCAGAATCACCCCATGGCGACATGTGGGGTGGAAGGGTTTCACCAGGTCCGTATTCATTGACTGGCAAAAGCTCTGCTTTGTTAATGGAATCGAAAACCCATTGAGGTTGGACGTAGGTGCGGCCTGCCACCTTAGCATTAACCTTAGGTCTATCGACAATTTGATGTGTAACATTGCTCAAATCCAACTTTGAGTATGCCTCTGGTTGGTTGACCTTCATCTCATCCAAAGCAATTTCCGAGATCAAGTTACCACCAGCTGATAAGATGCAAAGCTCCAAAATGTCCATTGGAACCTCACGACCAATGAAAAACAAGAACTTGGAGAACAAGGTAGAAGTGGGATGGGAGAACTTCGACGGCTGAGCCAAAACATCACCCGTTTCCTTGTTTGTTGATGCAAATTGATCTAGCTCGACAGTTTCGACGTCCTCGACTTCTTCGTCCTCTTGAGCATCCTCTTCATCAGCTTTTTTAGCTTTCTCAAGCTCCTCAGTCGACAAAGTTGTACCTGGAGCAGATTCGTCAGTCTCTTCGGTCTCTTCCTTAGAGAGAAGCAATTTGTTAACACCTTGGTCCTTCGACTGCAAGACGTATGCGGACAAACCCCCAATACCCTTCAACTGCTCCATGTTGATTGGTGGAGGGTAGACCAAGCCAGCATCATTATACAACTTGAACAAGACGAAATGCAACAAGGTAGAGTAAAACTCCAAGAAGGTAACCATGATTCTGAAGTCAATATCGGAAGGAATGTTCGAAGGGAACTTGAATGGGACTAACCATCTGACCTCCTGGCCCTTAACAACGGCCTGGTAATAGACACCCTTGATGGACACAAAAACCTTTTTTATGAGTCTCTCCTTGGCGCAGTACGCGAGCCACTGGTTGGTCAAGGTTTGAGCGTCTTTGACAACCCTATGGTTTACACCCTTCGTGGCAGGCATGTTGGCGAACAAGAACAACATGTTCAAGGGATCGTCAAGATCTCTCAAGGCATCAACGAAAGAGGGGTATCTCTCCTTGACCAAGTGGTTGAGTGTGTATTTTGGTCTGTGCTCCTCCAATTTTTCAGCATCTGCAATTTCGTTTCTAGTCAAAGCTCTCAGCAACTTTTTAGCAAATGTCTTGTGCTCTCTGAATTTAGCCAAAACGGGCTCGTGCATCAAGTACTGAATGTCTTTGCCATAGTAAAAAGTGGTGGGAGCAGTTGAACCTCTGTTGGCTTTCCTCTTGTTTCTTGGTTCTCTGGGATAGATTCCCTTGAAGATACAAAGACGACGAAAATCAGCAAGAGTAATCTGAAGCTTTTTCAAAGCCTTCGCTCTAGTGACGAAGTTCTTTGCATTTCCAGTCTTTCCCTTTCTCCTTATTTTGGCCATGGTGTAAGAGATGGAGTTGAGTTAGATACTCATTTTTTTGATGCGATGCGATGCCCGTACTGCAGCAGGACAGAGATGGACTTAGCCGGAAGAGCAGATACATTAGACCAACAAAACTCCCTTCCAATAATTTATTTTTGACTTTTTCTTCACACTTGAGCTATTTGAATAGTCATGGAATGAGGCACTACAGCATATCCTGAATATCATTAGCGCATCTCCAGGCTCTGGATCCATCGTATTTGGGTGCGAATGGCTGCTAATTGGGGGCAGGGTTAATAGGAAGAGGAAGCCAAAACCTAAAACATGATTTCCAATATTCATATTCGTATTTATGATCACTCCAATTCGTTGTAGGCCTTATTGAGCTCACACACGACAGGCCACACACTATTGAAGCGATCAGTCCACCAGAAGTCAAATTGGTGTTCACCACCATTGACAGGCACAAAGAAAATGGATTCAAATTTGGTGGCGATACCGTAGCATATCCTGCTTATATCTGTGCATGGCATTTCTAAAAGCAGCCGAACAGGAATTCGCTCTTTAAGAACTCGAGCAACATAGCCTACGACTTCCCGAAACTTGTTGAAAATTGCCCGGTCCACTTTCATATCGGCTTGGAGTCCAAGAATTCTCATCATTTCAATCTCAGTGAATGAAACTTCCTCTTTTAGAAGCAAGTAGATCATGGTGGTGTCTCTGGCGTGGGTCAAGTCGTATCCGAGGAAGTCTCGAAAATGGTCAAGAGCTACTTTTCTCTTGGACATTGTAAGCCGATATTTGTAGACAAAAGGATCAAACATCTCACCTGAAGATGCATTTTGAGGCAGACAATCTAGACTGGAAGACATGGAGGGTGGCCTATTGTGTCAGACTCGATGGGTGCAAAAAAACTCTAAGGAAGACACAAACGCATCAAACATTACCACCACCAACCTACGAAAACTACCGATGACTCTTGCAGAGGTATACGTTCGCCAATTGGCCTCAAGAAAGCAAATTAAAAGCGAGATGACTCACCTCTTTTCAAGACGGCTTTTCAACGCTGATAGCTTCGTCCACGTGGACCTCATGAACAAAGACCCCAAAGACATGCTCCCAAGCCTCATACCACTCACAGACGCAATGACTTTGAAAGTTGCCTTGAAAGATAGTCTAAGAGGCGATTCGATCGACTTTGATGAATTCAGAGATGATAAAGACCTAAGAGCTCTCGAACAGTCTAGTGGGATAGAGATCACTCCCTTTGATTTCGAGGACTACAGATCGACATTTCTTACTGAACTTCTGAGCGAATGGACGCCATCTCTCTACAAAGGGTTGGGTCCATATGCTCCTTCAGAAAAGCAATGTAGACGGTTCGTAGCCTTCGTCCTGCGGGCGAGAAGAGACTCTTTTAAGAATACTCGATTTGCGTATGAAGAGATCTTCAATGACTGAAAAGAAGTCTTTGTCAATAAATGAAAGAGCCATGTGTAATCATCGTAATATGAGTGGGCTACACCTCATTAGTCATGACGTATGTTCTCCACGTTTTGGGTGCGAAATGTATGGGGCATATGTATCTAGGCCGCGAAAGAAAAAATTGTGATCTACTATCGAGGCCGAAGAGGGTTATGTCTTTTCAAGATGTGTTGAAAAGAGGCGACGACTTCTTATCAGAATATCCCAGGACCTCGCCGCTTTGGAACTATGCATCTCATGCGACGTGCTTCCTCATCACCATGAAGACCAAGCTTCTTCTCAACTTGCTATACAAACCCCATCTTCATTGCGTTGAGAAGCTAGATGCCGCCATGGCCAAGGCACAGGAGGAGAAAAGATCCCTTCTTACTGTGATGAACCACATGTCTGTTGTGGATGACCCTTCATTTTACGCTGTGTTGCCACTTAGATTCCACACAGACGTCGACATCATCCGCTGGGGGTTCGGTGCCCATAACATATGTTTCTCCAACACCACCTTTTCGTGGTTTTTCAACCTCGGAAAGATCCTTGGAACGAAAAGGTTTGGCGAAGGTCCATTCCAGGGCTCGTTGGACGCGGCAATTCGGGTTCTTTCACCAGATGATACCTTGGACTTGGAGTTCAGCCCGTGGGCAAGAGAACAGGACAAGCCAAACTTGATTCAGGAGTTTTCAAAGCTCAACGTGTCCGAAAAGACAAAAGATTTGGTGAAGTCTGTGAAGCCCTCCCCTGCATCGACGAACATCCTCATGTCCAAATCTCCTTTCATCAGAACGAAAACCTCATGGTTTCATGTCTTCCCCGAGGGTTTCGTTCTTCAACTACAAGAACCACACAATAACTCCATGCGCTATTTCAAGTGGGGTGTATCAAGGTTGATTCTCGAGAGTACCCGTACTCCTGTCGTGGTGCCCATCTTCGCTCATGGATTTGAGAAAGTTGCACCAGAAGACTCCGCAGGCGAGGGTATAAAGCGCTACCTTCCGAGCAATTTGGGAGCTGAGATTCATGTTACTATTGGCGACATGATTCCAGATGATCGTCTCGAATTCTACAGACAAAAATGGAGAGACTTATGCGAGAAGTATATCGACCCAAAAAACCCAACAGACCTTAGTGAAGAACTCAAAACAGGCAAGAGAGCGCAAAAGCTTCGATCTGAACTTGCTGCTGAACTCAGACAGAAAGTTTTAGACATTAGAGAGGGACTTGGCGTATTCAAGCCCGAGGACCCACGCTTCAAAGACCCTGCTTACTGGACAGAGTATACCAAAACTGAGGGCTTGAGCGATCCCGAAGTCAAGTTTATTGGCAAGAACTGGGCAATCAAAAGATTGCAACTGCACTTGCCAGAGTACGAAGAAGACGCTTAGTTGAGAAAAATTAGATACGTAATTTTGTGTATAGACAGTATCTACAATTTGCAACCACTGCGCGCCTGGGTAATTTTTCATGCACATCTAAGGTAAGCTCTGCGGATGTCATTTGCACCATGTTACGCCGATCCATAATACAAGCATGCCGAACTCGAATACGGCTTTCCCACCCGCTTCAAATATGTGGGATCAGTTCAATAAGGCACAAAAGCGCATGGTTTGGTGATGCCAAACGCTCCAAGAGAGGAGATGGTTCCCATGATCAAATGATAATAGAAGAAGGAAAGGCTGACTACGACATACAAGGTACATATATAAGTGACCTCAAGCACTACCTCAAAACAACTGAGATTCCCACAAACCTCAGAGCTCGCATCTTGACCACAAAGCTTACAGAACTAATTCACGAGGTCCCCGACTTTGCATCGAAGACGGCTAATCTACAGACGATAGATAACGTCTTCAAACACCTATACAAATTTCATGATAATCGCATTGAGAAAGTTCTTCCATTCGATGATCTACTCACACTTTACAGAAATACCTCGTCTGCTCTTCTAGCAAAAGAGGATTTCAAGCTTCCGCACTACATGATGATCCTAGCTCAGCAGCTACTACGTCTAGACAGTAAGGTTCCAACGGATATATATGCCATTACAGTTGATCTAGGGGCTTCAGTAAAGTTCAATGGGGTCGAGAATGCTCTTTCCGTTGTTGTACATAATTCAGCGCTGATACCGAAGGACTTCACCGCCGCAGTTCTCAGTCGTTTCAAGAATAAGAACCAATTGGCACTTCTGACATTCGAAGCGTTCCTTTCATTCGAACCGGATGCTCGGAAGAAAATTGTCAATGACGATTTCTGTGACGAGTATTGCTCATTCATCGAGCTGTTATTCGAGGATCTGGACCCAAATGTTCACGAATACGAGAATCTTGACAAAAACATCTATCGTATTCAGGAGCTCACCTGTGAGATCTTCGGATCCCTATCTTCGTTGTCAATCGAGTCCATATTAAAACTACTCAAGTTATTAAGCGATCTCAATTCAGTGGTCGAATACAAGGATAAAGAAGAGGCAATCAGAACGCTTTTGAAATCCATAAACGAACGGTCAATCGAGGAGGTCAAGCTGGCGCTCATGAAGCAGGACATTTTTGATGAAGCCCAATGCCGATTGCTTTTGTTAGAGCTCAGCAAGGTTGGCACGTTCCCAAGTTTCCATCAAACGCTAGCGGATATAATCATTAAGGATGATATCAAATACTCAGCCAGCTTGAGACTACAGGCCAAGCTTTTATCACATTTGCAAAGCAACAGCGAGATAAGTGCAGATGAGCTTTTTGAGTACATTCGGAATTCTATTACTTCATTTCCAATTGAAGAATTTGACAATGCTCAGGATAGTGTGGTAGAGGCAATTATGGCTTCTGGAATCGTGAGCCCTGACAGCGAAGTGTTCAAGCTACTACAAGATTGGTTCCGTTCGGAATATGATGACGTTCCAAGTATAAGAGTATTCCAATACAGAATGGAAACTGCAATCAGCTTATCTGATAGCTCGTTGGCATCTACCATTTTTGAAACGTCGCTTAAATGTGATAACGTCCATTGGGAACTGGATTTGTCTCCAAAAACACAGCTTCTACTCAACAAGCTACTCCGCCTTGTTTGCGATAATACGGTCAGTATAATGGATGTGTTCCCATTCTTCCAGAAGGTCAAACAACATATGAGATCTCCCTGCAATGCTGAGGCCCTCGCAGCTCTCTCTGAAAAAATGGTTGCCGAGGAATGTGTTGGAGATTGTATTGAGCTTCTCAAGCGTGAGCTTCCAAAAATAAAAACCGAGTCACCCCAGAGACTTTTGGTGACTCCAAGTTGGGCATATGCACATAGAGAGCTTTTTGAAAAGCTATACGATTTCACAGTCGGATTCACAAATGAGGACACCTTCGAAACAAACTGGGTCCTATATGGAGAGCTTCACAAATATTTCGCCGTGCCTTTCGAGACCTATCTTCCCACGATGAAATTCTTCTGTGAGAAGGATAGGTTGCACGCTGCCCTCGTGATCTTTCAGCGTGTTAAATCCCTTAACGAGCTTCACGGCTCTCATCATCATCTTCCACCATCTCGTGAAATGTACATGTATCTTTTCAGAACATTTGGTGATCGACTTTATGAAGAAGGTGTGATTGAGATTCATGAGTACCTAAAGATGGACATCAGTCTTCAAGATAACGATATTGACCTCCAAAACTGCCTTCTTGAGGCCTATTCCAATTTGCAAAATATCGGAAAAGCTCGTGACTTATTTTTATCAATGTCATCAAATCCAAAGATTGAAGGAGGCGTCAATGAAGAGACGGCTCGAATCATGATCAAGACCTATACTTACAGCGATATGATCTATGTCAAGAAGTTTTGGGATAACCTCTCACAATTTGGTGTCTACCCAGACTTCGCTGTCTTCAGACAATATGTCATTGCGCATGTCTATCATGGTCACGTAGATGACGCCATAAAACTCATCGACGACATCGACGATTACAACCTTGAGTTTTCACCCGATTTACTTCTTGCTATGTATAACTACTGCTTGGACCCCGAAAAGCAGAAACAGGTTGCTCATTGGGCGCTCGAGAATCACAAGGAAGAATGGCAGGAAGTCTCCCAATCACCCCTTTTGCGAACAGCATCCAAGTACATGCCCGAAAGCAATCTCTTAACCGGTGGTGAGACGAACTAATGAAATATATCACTGAACTTTTGTTCTGTTGACCTTCGTAGCAAATCTGAGCGAGTTGATTGTCTCACCAAAATTTTTCAATAATGGCAGGATATTGACGAACATTAACGTCTTTGAATCACCCTGCAAACTGTGTTTCAAAAGATAGGTTAGCTTCGAGTTCCTGAACGGAACATGCCCACTCTGCCCACCATTTTTCTTTCTCGATATACTGTAGATCACATCACCGAGACACGAAAGAGACTTATTGATGGCTTGAGTTTCCTTAAGTCGGGCTCCTGTAGCATGCGAGTTGCTTATACGTTCCGAGCCGGCTAGATCGACAAGGTGAAGGGTTCCATTTTTTTGCGCTCCTGTCAGTGGGTTGGTACCCTTTATCCTGATAGTAAGCACCGAATGTGATCTTGAGGACCGCTCGTTTGCATCTGTTGCTGCGGTTGCTCGTCTCTTATTGGCTTTCAATAGACATTCAAGCGCTTCAGTAACACCATTCATAATGTTTGTCTTGAGGTTAGTGACAACAGTAGTGCCAGTGGTGTCATCATGTTTGATCTCATGCTTTGCAGGCTTGCCTGAATCACTGAACAAATCCACAATAGTTTCATTGTAAATTTCGATAAAGCTGGCTTCCACTTCATGACTCCATCCTTGTGCCTTGAGCTCCTCGACATCGTGGAAAATTTTGCTGATAGATGATGGTATCATGCCGTCACCTTCATTGGACATAGTGTATGTCTTGCCTGATCCAGTTTGACCATACGCAAACACGCAAACATTAGATCCATCCAATGCGCATTGAACCAATTGACACCATTCCTCAAATATCTCAGAATTTTTTGTTCCGATATCGAAGATTTTATCGAATTGAAATGAATTTGCATCATGACGCGCAGCATTTGTGTAGCTCCACAGTGATGTAGGCTCAGATTTCGAGACGATAAGGTCCTGCTTACCGTTGTCACCAAAAATCTCAGGAGAAGAAGCCTCAATTCTCGCAGAAGAGCCACTTTCATCCGGGCGTATCCTGCAAAATACCCTTATATTTCCCTTGAGGTCATGAAGTTTTGCGTGAAGTACTCGTCTCTGTTGTTCGAGCGCTGGAAATTGCTCACTGATTGCAGTGGTCTCTTTCTTATACCCCTCAATGTTATCAACGTGACTAGAGATTGAGTTTCTTTGTTGCTCAATCTCAGCAACTGTGTCATTGATCTTCTCTTGAATCCTAATTTTGTCCTTCTCCATGCTTGTGAAGTTCTTTTCCAAAGCAGTCATTTCATGTTCTAACGCAGCTTGTTTGAGTTGCAACTCGCTGGCGAGGAAACGCTGCACGTCTTTTATTTTTGAAGATACAGCGGACGAAGCTTCCCCCAACTCGGAGGATCTCTTCCTTGTCTCATTCGCTTCATCATCTAACTTGGTCAGAAGCTCATGTAGTGCTCTACCATGACCCTCTTTGATCAGGATGAGTCTTCTAGTTTTCTCCTTCTGTGTCAATCGTATCTTTTCCTCGAAGGCACTAAGGTCCTCTTGAAGAGCTCGCCGTTGTTCTTGGTCTCGTTTTGCAACCGCTTCCACAGTCAGGTCGATTTCACGGGACAAAGCCTCTTTCAAGTCCATGAGTCTCTTATCGTGATTAACTTGCAATTCCTTTTTCTTGAGATCAAAGTTGTATTCAATCTGCTTTATACTTTCGAGTTCCGCGTCATCCAATTGCTTCACGTTTGCTTCAACCTCTCGGAGGTGCTTCATCACTTCTCGAACCTCGTCCTCCAATTTTCTGTTAGTGAGCTCCATATTGAAGATTTCAGTTTTCCTCGACATTATCTGTTTCTTATAAACAAGAAGCTCCTCATGTTTTTGTTCGATCTCCTGCCGGAGAGGGTGTTGTCGTAGAAGATAACCCATATCGCTATCTGATCTAGGTAGTATTTCTGGGACTGAGTAGCGTTCGATTAGTAGTGTTTTTTTCAGGGGCAGAAAGTTCTCGATGCCCAACGCCCTCTTATGCCGCGGTTTGGAGGGGCTAGACACTTTTATATCTCCAGAATGGCTCATGATCTCAAGCTTGTCTCATGCGTGTGTCAGACCTCAAACATAAACAAACGCTTGCATTATGATCGTGGTGCACGGATGCATTCTCCAGTGATTCAGTGCTATAACTTTTACACACGAAGCCTATGGAGTATTTTCCAAATTTACAATCCAAATCAAATTGTAGAGACCTGGGTGACTAAGGATACACTGTTACCAGAATTTTAATAAACCAGGCTTCTGGAATTTAGATAAGTTTGCAGTCGTGATACAAGCTCTCAGGACGACGACAGTATTTTAACTAAAACAGTCTCTCCAAAGTAGGCCAAAAATCTAATTGTTGTGATTGTGAAAACACCCGTTTCACGCTTTGTTGCCCTGGCTTCGTGTTTTAGAAATCATGGTTGGTTGCAAATTTCCTGCAGAGATCTTCGCTTTCAAGCCCATCTCTGATTGAGAGTACTCATCGCATCGTTAGCACTATGGGAAAATCCAATAAGGCGCAAAAGCAAGCCGTTAAACAGAAGGTGGAAACGCAAGAGGAGAAGCCTGAAGTGAGGAATGAGAAGGTTCTGCCCTCTAACGATTCCGATGTCCAGGAGCTGGAGGACGAGGATGAATCTGACGCCGATTCTGGTCTAGACGATGAGTTTGATGTTGCCAACGTCCCATCGGATGACGATGAATCCGAGGATGATGAAGAGTCAGACGACGAGTTTCCTTTGAGAAAGAAGAAAAAGGTTAGCACAGATGGTGGAGATCAATTTGCCAGTGCATTCAACGCTATTATTGGCTCTAAATTGAAGGCATACGACAGGAAAGATCCAATTTTGGCCAGAAACAAGTCCACACTCAAGAAGCTAGAGTCCGATAAGTTGGAGAAGAAGGCCAAGCGTGAATTGCTTGCAGAAAAGAAACAGATCCAGGACAAGGTTCGTATACGGAACCTTCTTCCTTCAGCCAGCGAGCCTGAAAAGGTCCGCGATATCATCGAAAAGGAAAGAAAACTCAAGAAAGTTGCCCAGAGAGGTGTGGTGAAGTTGTTCAACGCTGTCTTAGCTACACAAGTCAAGACCAAGGAGGAGATCGGTAAAACGAAGGTCTCTGCCGGTAAGCAGGACGAGATGTTGAATGAACTCTCTAAATCCAAGTTTTTGGATCTTGTGAAGGCAGCGGGCAATACTTAAGCTCATTTCGTCACGAGAATCTTGTCCCGGAATATCTACCGGGGTTGACTTTTTAAACCTCTCGATGCCGCGACGCAGTGCAGTTAAAAAAAGAATTCCCCACAAAGTTTGGCACGGCACAGAAAACGCCTTCACCTCAAGGGGTGAGAGGTGTGAGTAGTATTGACCAATCTGCTTACCAAAATGTCCATTACAAGACATGATGAGGCCCATGTACGGGCGGAAGAGACGCTTGACGAGCCCCTGAACGCTGCTTCAGAGACAGTAAGGGATAGACCTTATGATAGACCACATATAGTGACCAGAGAATCAAACTTGAACGTCACCAGTCTCGGTCAAGTAAACAACCCTTCAATCGTTAATACACAAGCCACCCCCATCAATGCAAATAAGGAGGCAATGACCCTCCGTAATCCCGAGAGAAACCTTTGGAGAGTTATTGCAGTGAGCATTTGGTCGGCTTGTGGAGGCTTTTCAGATGCCGCCCCTGGTGCCCTTTTGCCCTCTATGGAAGCCCACTATAATATCAGCTATGCAGTGGTTTCGCTTATTTGGATGTCAAATGCCGTGGGGTTTATATTGGTTGCCTGCTTCGCCCACAAGATTACCCCATGGTTTGGTAAAAGGTGGTCACTCACCTACGGTATCATCCTGTCGGTATTCTTGTATAGCAAGTGGCGGACCCTTTCCACTCATTTGCTTTGGTTTCTTTTTGGGCGGCATTGGCTTGGCAACGGTTTTGGCTCAATCGAATGTCTTCTTATCCAAGCTTGACAAGCAGTCCAAGTATTTGGCTATCTTTCACGCGAGCTATGGTGCTGGGGCAACAATTCTGCCTCTTGCAGCCACAAGTATGGTTGGGCATGGAATGAAGTGGAACTACGTTTACTTGATTTTGCTTTCTTTGATGGTGATCAATACGTTTAATACAAATTTAGCCTTCAAGGGTGCGGAAGATGACTTGAAACCATGGGATCACGATGAAGAGACGGAATTATTGATTGACAAAACAAGAGCAACGGAGGAAGGAATAGAGCTTGAGAATTTCCTGGAGTCTGGCCGTGCTGACAGTGCTGAACGTCGGACCCCACCTAAGACCCAGAACGATATGATTCTTGCCTTGAAGAATGTCCCTACTTGGTTAATCGCCCTTTTTGTGTTTTGCTATCAAGGATCGGAGGTGTCCATTGGAGGTTGGATCGTTACCTACCTCTTGGACTACCGTAAAGTGGGCACCAGTTTTGGTTATGTGTCGTCTGGTTTTTGGGCAGGTTTGACCATAGGCCGGCTTCTTTTGACGCGTCCATTGCATAAAACGCTTGGTCTCCGCAAAAGCATTGTGATTTTAGCTCTTTTGGCCATTGGTATGATTATTTTATCGTGGGTTGTGCCGAACAGTATCGCTGTGGGTGTTTTTGTCGGACTTGGTGGTGTATTCATCGGTCCCACTTACCCATTAATGATAACAGCGGTTTCATTTATTGTTCCAAGAAGAATTCAGGTTGTAAGTTTGACCATAATGACCGCTTTTGGATCCAGCGGAGGAGCAATTCTTCCATTCATTACTGGTTTAATTGCAGAGAGTCAGGGAGCCTACGTTGTGTTACCAATCTTCATCGCCACATATAGTGTCATGTTGATATTCTGGCTCATCTTGCCTAATGTCGAGCGAAAGCCTGATCAACCAAATGATGGAAAGTTGAAGAGATTCTTGCACAGAATTTGGTAGTATATAGTGGAAAGTGAAAGAGATCTCACCATAGTGTGTAGCGTAGTGGGTGCGAAAAACCATTTCGATCCAAGAATTCTCCAGGTCACTCATACCAAATGGCTGTGGAACTACACATTAAGCACGGCGATGAAGCTGTCAACAAGAAGGACTTTTCAAATGCCATTGAGCAGTACACGTTAGCTCTCAAAGAGAACCCAGAAGCTTTCCTAGGCTACATCAAACGTGCTGCAGCTTATTTGAAAGTCAGTGATTACTCCAATGCCCGAGGTGACATTGACAGAGCTATTTCAATTGCCGACAAAAGAGGGAAAAGAGATGACAAAGGACTTTGCTACTACAGACTTGGTCTAATAAACTACGCCGAAAAGCACTTCTCGGAGGCATTGACCAACTTCAAGAAGTCCAAAGAGCACCTGTACCTGGAGCCAGCGTTGGATATCTGGATCAACAAGGCAGAAAGAGATTTGAAAAAAGCAGGCCAAGCGGCTGAAGAGAAGCCTTTGAACTCTGCAGAATCACAGTCCAAACTGACCAGTGCCGATGTTATCAACAAACAAGCACCATTGAAGGTGAAGATCAGAGACGACTGGTATCAGTCGAACGACACAGTGACGGTCACCATCTACGCAAAAAACGTCAAGGAAGAATCCTTGAGTACTTCGTTCAATCCTCGTTCCGTGGCACTTTCATTCCCAAGCGGCGACAACTCTGAGTACAACTACAACTTAGAGCCTTTATATGGCGAGATTGACACTGCTGCGTCCAGCTGCAGGGTTTTTGGCACAAAGGTCGAGCTCACATTGGCTAAGAAAGTCAAAGGTAAGTGGGCTCTGCTCGAAGGTGATGGTCCCATCAAGCCTGTGGACACCAAAGAAGGTCCCACAGAGCAATTAGCATACCCTACATCCTCGAGAAAGGCAGTCAACTGGTCCAAATTCGATGTGCAAGAGGACGAGGAAGAAGAGGACTTCTTCGCTAAGCTATACAAGGACGTGGATGACGATACCCGTAGGGCCATGATGAAGTCTTACGTGGAGTCAAATGGTACCGTGCTCACGACTAATTGGTCTGAAGCGGAGAACAAAAAATTTGAAACCAGTCCGCCCGAGGGCATGGAAGCGAAAAAGTGGAATCAGTAGACTGGCCTTATCTGGTTCTGGGCATCAGAAGAGCAGATCCAAATGTGGCCGCGCTACCCTGCAAGCGAGCCTCCCTATTGTGCATAAACAAGGAGATCAGTGATCCGGATGTATCGGGGGAGATCTGGCAACCTTTCAGCAATTTCAAATGAATTTTTGAATAGCTATAGTCATCTACCTACTTCAGTCATAATGAGTTCTTGAATTTTCTCAAAGTTTAAAAAGCTTGCTTTTGGATGCGGCCATAATAAGCTGCAGCATGATGCGTACAGGGTTGACCGACGTGAGGCGGGTGGTTGGATTCCCTTTCCTTGTATGCGAGATTTATTACTAAGACAAAAGTCCGTCTCGCTGTTATTCCTACTAAAAATCTTTTTGCTTTTTTGAGACATGCCTTACTTTCATAGATTTGTCTGGTATGTGCAATCGTCTCTTGTGGTGACCCACAGGATAATCTATTAATTATCTACTAACACAAAGGCCCGTTTCAAGTGGAACCGAAAGTGTGGTTGTGACAGGCAATTTCGATAATTGGTCTCTCAAGGATGGTGTTTTGAAGAAAGCCACTGATGGTGATTTTGTGGGAGATATCCGTGTCGATGAACCACAGCGGTTGATCTTCAAGTTTGTTGTCAATGGCTCTCAATGGATCACTAGTCCTAAATACAAGATCGAACATGATCTCCAGGGCAACGCCAATAACTACTTGGAACCTGAAGACTTGGAGGAAGACGAACCAGAACAAAAGCCTGTGGCTGAAAACATTGAAAAGCCCATTCGAGATGAAGACGATAACGTCGAGGTGTTTTCGTCCCCGTGTTCGTACGCTGCATTGTCAATTCCAAGCGAGGGCTTCGAGGATCTCGGAGTTGAATCCGTCGAGGGCGTCCCAGAAGAGCGACAGTCCCCGCCCGTGTCCGAGCCGAGGCATCGTAACGCCCCCATTGACATCCCAGCAGCCCAGCCAAGCTCGCAACCAAGACCATTCCAGCCCAACCACACCACCTCCTACAAAAGTTGCCACACCAGTTCAGGAGACACCACGCCTACCAACTCCGTCCTCACCAGCGGCTTCTTCGGAGCAAAGCAGCTCGCCACCCCCACCCAACAAGAGTCTGAAGTATCGACTCTTGGCACTCACTCTCGGAGTAGCTCTTATACTGCTCACTCTCAGCAAGGGTATAAAGATTCCCTGGTTGTGAACGCGCTTGGTCTTTTACCTGAGCCGGCTAACTCGTCCAAGAAGAGGGAAGGTGTGTTATCCCGCTTTATCGGTTTCTTTCAATAATTACGAGGCTCAATTTCATTAATTAATGCTATTTGACTGGATTCGATCATTTCTTCTTACCCTTCTTCTTCTTTTTGCTCTTCAGCGACGGAGCTTGTGGTGTCTTTTCCTTCTCTTCAGGAAGAGGCGTCTGCTCACGAACTGGCTCCTCGGCTTCAACCTGAGGTTCCTCAAACTTGTTATTACTCATGACGCTGGCCACACCCACAATCTCAGTCTTTTGTTGTTTCTGAGCGGGCTCCTCCGTAACAGTGGCCTCTGCTTTTCTCTTGGTACTAACTCCACGAGGACCGAAGTATGTTAAAAGTCTGGACAATTCTTTTCCCTTCCTCGTTGAGTATTGAATGCTCTTTCCCAGCTGGGGCTCAGAGCATTTGAACTTGACAGTATGCACTGGAGCAGCATTGTCTTTACTCTTTTTTGTTTTGTTGGAATAGGTGATGGTGACGGTGGCCGATGGGAATGCCTCGAAGAGCTCGGCCAGGCTTTCTATGAAACTCTCCATGGCTAGATTGAGACAGTAATCTGAGAAGTTCTACTCGCACTTTTCATGGTCGCATTTTCTCTGCAGCGCCAGTGTGGGTTCGCTTAAGCTCGACTCACCTCAGAACTGCAAAAAAATCTAGTGAATTTTATTCTATTCCAGAAAAATATTGAAATATACCTGACGATCTGATCATAGTAATGCTCTGGCAACTTAACGGATCGGCAAAGCTTTCATAGCTATGTTCTAGCGAGCCTACAGTGCGTTCCTTTGTTCTATAGATTATCCTAGTATACACCTTATGACTTGTATGACATTTTTTTGTCATGTTAACCTAGAGAGGGACATCATAGCCGAGAACCCAGCTGCCTATGAGCACAATGTTGAGCAACGTGACAAAACTCCATGAAGTAATCGAAAAGAACGTCATCCAAGGGCCATTACTCATATCACTGTAACCCTTGATACGGAAAAGATCCTCGTCGGACGTGTCTATGGAGTCCGGGTTGGCAGTGTATGAAGGTGGGTTTGTGGACTCTGTTCTCTGTGTACTTGCAAGTGTAGGGAAATGGGCACCCGATCTGCTCTGCTGCAGCACCATGTTCTGGCGTTCATGACTTTCGTCGTCAGTTTCGTCTTCCCAGCCGACACATGGATGTGCCTTCCTGAGGTCCTGAAGCCTGATGGCGGGCTCACCGACAGAATAACGGTTCCGCTGAGGGACCACCGTGTTCTGAGTATTGGAGTCACTGCCAAACGATAATTCTTCCTCGAAGATGGTGTCCACATCCTCATCACCATCTCTCACCAAGATGGGAACACTCATAATTTTCTTGGAGCACGTAAAGTAAATCAATGGAGCTGTGACAACAGGAAGCAAAATAGACAAGACAACCTGCGAGGCATTTAACGTCCTCGACAAACCATCTCTTCCTGCGAACGAAACAACCATTATGCAAGGAAAGATCGCCAATGCTCTAGTGACAAGACGACGAATCACGGGGGAGAAACTCCACAGCAAGAAGCCCTCAGATACCATCTGGCCCGCAAGTGTACAGACAACACCAGCAGATTGACCGGAGCAAAGAAGAGCAAGCACGAACACAAATCCTGCAGTTTGTGAAAGATGAGTCGAAAGAAGGTTGTAGATGGTGAATAAATCAGCATTGTGTGAGCCTTCATCATCCGAATCGGAATCTTCGTGGTCGTCGTCACGCTTGCTTTTCGTTCCCACGGTGGCACCGGCAACAATCAAAATAGTTGAGTTGACAAACAAAGCCACAGTGAAAAGTGAAATGACAAGCTCTGCAATTGTGTATGCCATGGTGTCGTTAATGGCATGAACTGAGGGCCTGTAGTACTCTTCCTCTTCTTCTTTGGCGCCAACAGCAGTGGCGTATTCCTCTCCAGTCAAGTGTACTCTCTCTTCTTCAAGACTTTCGGCAGGTACCTCTTCTACCTGCTTAGGTGGTGTGTAGTATCCATGCTTGATGTCAAAGTCCTTTAGCCTAGCTTGCACTAAGCCTGAACCGAGGTATAAAGAGTGGGGCATCACGGTAGCTCCCATAATCGCCAAACTCAAGAAAAGGCCATTTCCGCCCTCTCTCTCGCTGGTGTCAATCACCTTCTCATTAGGTAAGAAGCCTTTCAAAACGTCGATGAACGAAAAATTGGGTTCTTTGGACACTTGGAACAACTGAATCGCAAAGCAAACAACTGTAGCGCCAACAAGGACTGAGACAAACGACTCAAAAATGCGGATGAAAAGTAAAGGGCCGTTTGGCCTGTAGGCCATGAGAACGATCAAAACGTCCACCATGGTGATGATGACTCCTAGAGTCAAGGGAATGTTAAACAAGATATTTAAAGCGATGGCAGTACCCACAACTTCAGCCAAATCTGTGGCAATAATAGCGATCTCCGCCAAAACGTAGATGAAAATATTGAGTCTGTGGGGTAGATTCTCTTTGCAGTTAGCGGCCAAATCCAAACCAGTGACAGCACCGAGCTTGGCCGACAAAGTTTGCAAGAATGCCGCTAGACAGTTGGATAAAAAGATGGAGAATAGAAGTTTGTATTGGAAAGCTGAACCAGCAGCCACGGCGGTCGAGTAGTTACCAGGATCCATGTAGGCGACAGAGACCATAAGGCCAGGGCCTATAAACCGCATGTACTTGCGTAGCACTCCCCAAATTCCTTTTAGCCCAGGCATTTTAGGCGTTGTGATGCTGAGGGGGTGTGCTTAAAAGCGTGGTTCTAAAGTGTGATGAAGTACCAAAAGTTGTGGAATGTTGGTGGTCACGACAACTTCTTATTGATGTAAGACTAAGGATTGTCTTTTCTTGTTCTCTTGGGACAGTCGGTTAAGGTAGACCGTGTATGCTGAAAACAGGCCGATTTGCTTGAAGCTTTTTAAGGTTTTAGCTAAAGTGGTTGCTTCTATAGAAATTCTCAGCTGCGCCCAGGAAAAGACCGGGTGCGAAAATGCTATAGAGGTCTCGAAAGTACCAGGGCCCGAGGCACAAAAACATAATACATGTAGCAACCAATAAGGAGAGAAAAAACTAAATTTCGTCGAAATTGGTGAATCATTCGATTGTCGGGAATTGAATTCTTTTCATGATATTTTTTATTTTGGGGGTTCTCAAGAATCTAGGTTTCTATATTGATCTAGATCCACCTATTTACATGCAAATTATGGTTGCGAATAGACCCTGTGAAACCACAGTGGTGACAGAACCGGCGGTAAAATACGGCTTTACACATGGTCCACATATTTACTCCGCATTAGAAGAATACAATTTCGAACCTAGTATTATTTTGATAAATGATGGTAAAGTTTGAGGCCTCAAAGAAAGACGAGGATAGCTATAGTGAACAATGTTGCATCAGATCGCCGAGCTGGACCAGGATTTAACCTGGTGACACGCTATTTTGTTTATCTATCAAGTTGAAAGTGTGAGCTGCCGAGCTTCCAATTCTTTTTCATTTACCAAACCCTAGGACGCCATGTCTCTTCCTTATCGATTTGCGAAGTATAGGTCCACATCACAGAATCCAGACATGTCTCTCTCTGAATCATACAAAAGCTTCTCCAAGACTCAATGACGGCTATAGTTTTTCATCACACTGTCGGGAAGCTGAGTGGAACCAGTTCATGTGGTATCCCGGAGAACATCGGAAAGCCGCACCCGGGCACATCTACTGATAAGACTTCTACATAGCAACAAAAGCAAAACCGTTCGAGTAACTTATGTCAATCGAGTATTTTAATTATTGGATGTCTAAATCCAAGAGAATAGGTTAGTTTCAGCAACTAATGTTTTTGACTCCTTGAGCTCCGGCGTTCGCAAATAAAGCGATACAGAAATTTAGGCATTGCCGAGAAGAAATTCAAAAATGTATGGCTTGCAATTAAGGGGAAGCTCTGCAAACACTATTAGATTGTCAAATTAATGATTTCATTTTTCCAAGTCCAGTTTAAAAATACAGTTTGGTACAAGTGCCGAGTCCGGTTTGACAGATTTTGCACCCAATGTTCGGAGATGTCGCGCCCGTTCGGTGGTCAGAGTCCGAAGTATGCACAACTCCATCAGTTCTACTTTTTTGAACCTCAACTTGTTCCTTCTATAAGTCGTACATCTTCGAATTACCTACAATCCCATGTTGAGGTTTACGGCTACACGTGCATCACGCCTTGCCCTGGTATCTAGAGCTGGTCAAGTGGCTGTCGCCAGAAACTTACATATTCAATCTTTATTGCTTGATGCTCAAGTGTTCAAAATGCCTGCCATGTCTCCCACGATGGAAGAGGGAGGCATTGTTGGTTGGAAGGTGAAAAATGGTCAAGAATTCGCTGCTGGCGATGTTTTGCTTGAGGTCGAGACCGACAAGGCCACGATTGATGTGGAGGCCCAAGACGACGGCATTATGTGGGAGATCTTGGAGAATGACGGTTCCAGCGGAATTGCTGTCGGTAAACCTATTGCATTGTTGGCTGAGCCAGGCGATGATTTATCGTCTTTGGAAAGACCTGACTTGGAAGCAGAAACACCTGCTCCCAAGAAAGACGAGCCCAAAAAGGAACAGCCGGAACCTGCAGCAGAACCTCCTAAGGAAAGCAAGACCGAGTCAGTTCCGAAGGCGAAGGAGACTCAACCAGCAGCTGAATCTAAACAAGGTTCAAGTGAGGTCTTCACGAAGGCCAACCCACAGCAGAAGCTCACACCAGCTGTCGAACTATTGCTCCACGCCAAGGGTATTTCCGCTGAGGACGCATTTTCCAAAATTCCAGCCTCCGGTCCCAAGGGCAGACTCTTGAAGGGTGACGTTTTGGCCTACTTGGGTGAGATCAACAAGGGAGCTGTCGAGAGAGTTGCCTCATACATCAAGAACAAGGAACACTTGGACTTGTCCAACATCAAAATCGCTCCTCCAAAGGAAGCCGAGAAGTCTGAGGCAAAGAAGCCAGAGGTTGTGAAGCCTTCAAACGTTTTAAAGATAGAATTCACCTCGGAATTGGGCGAGGCTGTTTCGGAGTACAAGTTCCAATACGCTTTTGAGAAAGCATTGCATTCTGCCATCACTCAGACATATGGCACAAGATTCCCTGAGTACTCTAGAGGACCATCCCCATCGGCATTGGAAGTTGATGATGTCTTCGACGACTTGCTCGTTGCCCCCGTGTCTAAAAAGAGATTCGATGTCTCCGGAATCCAGTACAAATTCATTAAACTGGTGCCCACTAGCTCTGGTGCCTTCGCCGCTGCACCCAAAGACTCTTTTGATGAGCTTCTAGGACTCGAATCCGCTCCGGCACCAATCTCCGGAGATGTAGAGGGGCCTGTTAGCGCTAATGTGACGTTTAAGGTTGCTTATGATGAGAAGTTGGTGGATTCCAAGGAGTTTGTTGAAGAGTTTCAAGAATCTTTGCTTAGCCAAATTCCAGCAAAGCAGCTCATCATCACACAATTGTGAGCGCTTCATACAGCAAGAATCCAACGAGAGACGCTAATCAAGAGGGTACACAAATAATATAGGAATGTAACATGTAAAGTAACGCATCATATACGTCAATGACGAACGAAAGTCAAAAGTTTATGCTGGGCACAACCTTCCCTACAATTCCACACACGCAGCGTTATCAGTGGAATCATCATCGAGTTCTGCGCAGAGAAACCACCGCGCATAACTTTTTTTTTTTTTTTTTTCCCTTGTGCGGTCTATTTTTTTTTTTTTTTTATAGTTTACACATACATTTCTTGCAACCATTTACAACAACCACACTATAAGTTCATGAGGTTTGTTTGGATACTCTAACCATTCATTGAAGCCCACTTAATACCGCAACGTCACCGCTTTCCAAGAGCAGCCATCGATAGCTCATCGATACCATTATCAGTCCATCATGAGTATTCCATACAACATCAACGCTGCAAAACCAGCTGCCACCATGGAAGGCCCCCTCGAAAGTCAGGAGAAGAATAGGCGAATCCCGCTTGTTTATGGCTCGAGAAATGGTTCACCAAATCCCCAGAATTATGCAATGGGCACCCCTTCTCCTCCACTCACTTCTATACTGAACAGGATGTTGAACAATTCGATGGTTCCATCACCCCTCACGCTTCCACCTCAGCAAGGGATGAGAACGAGCCACAACTCCATGCTCTCGAAATCTTCAGAACAAACGCAACACAACCAGATACAACAACACGCGCATCAAGGCTCTGACCAGATGCATCGACAACAGCGAGGGCCCCCTCCACAGAGTTACCAGGAATACCAGCAACGTTCACAAAAAGAAAATAACTCAATGATGAACGTCGGCGATTTCCAACACAACCAACAACAACACCAGATACACCAGAACCACAACTCACAAGTTCCTCACTACGCAAGCCCGCAAATGTTCAGCAAGCAGGGTCAACAACAACACTTGGCACAAGGCCATCCGCCCTTTGAATATGGCCAATACCAACACATACAACCACTAGGACAACAGATCGATCAGTCCGATTTCCACCAATATTCCCAACACCACCAACAACAGCCAAACCAGGAAACGCATCAGGTCCAATCACAATTTGCAAACCATGACCAAAAATCTCTTGTGTCTCTGCCTCAAAACTCGGATGAATCTGAGGGCAAGCACAAAATAACTATAGTTACCAAGTTCGTTCCCGCGACTGAGGATGATGGGTCAAAGAAGAAGAGAGGACGTCCCAAGAAATATATCTTGGATCCTGCAACGAATGAGTTTATCGATTCTTCCCACGAAAATTTCAAGCGTCTCAATAAATTACTTAAGGAGAGTACCAAAACAACTCTGAAGAAACTTGGCGATGCCGAGCAGCATGTGGGTATCGTGAAAGGAACGTCTCTCAAGTCCCTTAATGATGTGGCTGTGCAACAGCTTTTGGAAAAGAAAGATAAAAGAGGACGCCCAAGAAAGTTTCCAATTGAGAAAACCGGTCTCACAATTCGTGGTGTAAGGGTAAGTGGAACTGGTCGGGGCCCATCTGAGAAGGCTCAAGTAACAACTTCCAATGTTGCAGCTGACACGGATAAGGTCAACAAAAAGAAGAGAGGAAGACCTAAGCGCGAGGAGAATGTGGGCGCCACTGTACAATAGTTTTTGATAGGCATTAGGTATATGTATTTATAATTTTTGATAGCGGGGCATACCCTTGGAACTAAAGAATAGACCATCACTTATGGCGGCATGTAGTCCAGCTGAATACACTATACAGCTCTCAAGTAATTGAGTATATTTCAAGCAGTACTTCTCAGTTTTATTCTGAATGGATTCCATTCTCTCAAAGATTTCGAGACAGCATGTGTGAAAATACTTTGATGCTCGGATATTGATAGAAATTGCTGTCCATTATAAGCTTAGACTTCTTTCACATTGCAAATTTCGAAAGAACTGGGTTTTGATGTGATCTGTGGTGTAGTTTGACCATTCCAACTGAAGTTTACTACATGCAGGACCACTGAAATTGAAAGAATATATTTAATCTGCAGGTCTAAATCGTTGCTTAGTAGGAGGGTTGGCCGAGTGGTCTAAGGCGGAAGACTTAAGATCTTTTGGACGTTTGTCCGCGCGAGTTCGAACCTCGCACCCTTCACTATTGTTTACTTTTTACAACCTCCTACAAACTTTCATTACTGCCGTTTGCAAATAATTTTTTCTGCTCCATGTCATTGGCGAAGCTGATCGTCGTGGGCAGAGCTATTGCAGAGTCAGGGCTTTTGGATCCTGTTCAATGCTCAGAAAACCTGCAAGTAGCCATAAACAACTCCGACCATTTGACCGTTTTAGAACCCAAACTACCCTTGTTACACAATTGGATTTCAAACGGTGTATCCAATGGACTAAAGAAGAGTACGATAGATCCTAATGACCTTTATGACGTGAGAGGGGTTTTCAATATCGCAGATCTTGAACTGCTCGGTCTCCAGATCTTTTCCAAACTACTCATCGAAGATGGCGAGGACCGATTTTCTTTTGGCAGAATCGCAGAGCCATTGATAATATCGCATGCATGGTCTCCAATTGATGATTCTACACGAGATTGCTTCCTTGGAGTATTACTCAACACAGGCGAGGTTCTTGTCTTGAAGAGAACGACTCAAGATTCAGGTCAGTACGATGTCATCATAAGGAGCTTTACGAGTCTCCTTGACAACATGAACATACCACTGAATAGATTAACCAATGAGGGGGACATCATAGTGACCAATGCAGAGCATCTTGAATTGAAGATCACCAGTTTCACATTCGGGAAGGCTTCCAATGGCGCTTTGTATATTCTACTAGCGCACGAGAGCGGGCTGATTTCTATTCATTCATTGACACATGGATTGCCTGAGTTATCGAGGCTTCAAGCCAGTGGAACTATCGTCAAAAGTGCCTGGTCACAGGATCTATCTACGACCGCATTGCTTATGTCTGATAATTCTGTTCATATCATCTCCTTAGATGCCAACTTACAGCCAAAGAGTGATATCCAAAATGTGAAATCGGCCTCCAGATTTCTTGTTTCGCATCTAAAGTTTATCTCTACGGACACCCTCATTGTGACCGACAGCAAAGCGCTTCATGTTATCAAGGGTGGCTCGACTCGAGAAACAAAGTTACCTTATAGATCCACCATCCTGGGGCTTTCATTTGCTCAATCATCCGCTGGCTACACGATTTTTCTTTCATTTGAGTCTGGCCACTTCTCGTTGCTCAATATCAATGAAGCGGGCGAATGTACCCTCCGACCACTGCCTCAGACATGGACGAACTTTGTCAATCGCACTCTCCTTCAATTCCAGTATGCTTGTCTCAAGGAACAGAACAAGGCACCGTCAAATGTTTTCAAACCATTTCTCAATGATAAGGTGGAGGGTAACCTAATGATTCATGGCTCACATCTCAGCTCAAATGGTGACCTCGTTCTCGCTTATAATGTCGTGCCAAAAAACGTCATTCATCATGAGATTCGCTCAAAAGCTGAATTTAAAGTGGCCGTTGTGTCTGCACTTGAACTCGATCCTAAGATTACGATAAACCAAACTTCCGGCACCTCAATCTCACAGATCCATGGCGTACTACTAAGAGACTATCAGTCTTTTCCAACACCTGCTTCGAATGGTAAAGAGGGTATTGATGAGTTTATTCAAGCTCTTCAAGAGTGGAGAACGCGTAAGTTTATTGACTTTGGCGAGGTAAATCTCACCATTTCACCTCACGAATCGTTGACCGAAACATTACAAGAGGAATTTTTAAACAATAACTCGATTCGAGACTTGCAGAAACTACTTACTTTTAATTCAGCATTCCTTGCCACTTTAGAGGTCCTTGGATCGAGCGAAGAGTTGGGTATTGTTACCGCTCCGGCGAAGCAAAATGTGAACGATGAACTGGAGATGATAAGAACCAAACTTGCGACGCAACTCCGCCAAGCAGTGCTATCATCGGTGAAGTTCAGCGACCTTATTGAAGCAGACAAGTTTTTGTATCTTTCGTTTGTCAAAAGTCTTCCAATTGACCATCAAAGCCAGTTTCTGAACTTACCGGAGGAGGTAAAATGGACGGAGTCGACAGACTTGGTAACGGAAACGTTTCGCGTGGCCATGAATCAAAAATATGACAAATCTTTCGAGAAATTTGCCTTATCAGACTCGTCTCATTCATGGCGCCGTTGCGACCTTACCTTGTTTCCTATCTTGAGTCTCAATAACAAAGCTGACGAGTCGAATACATTTGTTTATTCAATCGCGGAACACGATCCCGATGGTTTAGCATACACCTTGCAGACTCAACTCAACTTTTGCGTTTACACTGGGAATAGAGTGTTCGACCTAAAGGTGGGTCTTTAATGCTATACTAATGATGAAATATATAAGAACCAGGAACCGGCTGGAAACCCTCATCGCTATCGGCGAACAGTCCAGACAAAAGATCGAGCTCCTTCTCTCTGTTCCAGACGAGCTGTGAAGAGTTCCACTTTATGAGTTGACTGACCTGTTTTGGTGGGGGGTCTGTAATTTTTGTAACGAGATATGCAACAGATGATTCTGCAAAGCCGTAAAGCAAGAGACCAATCCAAGGTGCTCTGCGAATGAGAAGATAGTGGCATAATCCAAAGCCGAAAAGGAGGCCCTCTCTAGATCTGATCCACTGATCTTTCTCGGATTTGGTGAACCGGACACGCGAGAAGTAGGGGGCCAACAAGTCGTGAAGCATACTTCTGGAACCCCAGTACGTTGTGAGGAATAACACTGCCCAACGTTTTGGCACGAGTTGAAGTAAACCAAATATGACAGCTGCATTCACAGTGCCGATCTTGCCGTCCAAGTTCAGAAATGAAATAAGACCGAGGATAACGGACCCGAAAAAGGGTATTTTACTCACAAAGTAGGCGCCAACACTCATGAGAGTCCGATTTATGTGTCTGCGCATGAATGCCGAGAATTCTTGAGAAGTAGCCCATTTCTTCTTGATGCTGTCAAATGTAGGCCGGTTATCAGTAATTCTTTCATCAGTGCTGAGAGCAACAAGATTTTCATGGTAAACACGTTCGGTTTCGGGATGTTTGGCCTTACGAACCTGGTCGACAAATTGCAAGCTCTGCAAGAATAGGTCATCCAATTGTTTGTTGAAGTATCTGGACCCTGAGATCAAGAAAACAGAAATGTTAAGCACATTAAACTGGAATGACTTCAAACTAGCCACAACGTGATCAAGACCTTTAGATTTCGTAGCCAATGCAGCTATCTTCACTAACACTCGAAGCAAAATGATTGGCGACCATATGAGACCTTGGATCACAAGCGACGCCTGAATAGCTATCAAAGACTGGCGATAGTACTTTTGTGTAAGGAGTGAAGGGTTCTGAAGCGTTCGGTAAGCACCTAGTATTGCCAACTGAAACCCTCTTAGGATTGCCAAAAGTGAGAATCCCGGTGGTGGGTTCGAGATCAATATGGGAGATGCCATTAATGATAGACTACGTCTATGGTCGTGAATGCTTCAGGTGAAGGCCATCTCGACATACTGCATGGTGGGGTTGCCCTATACGGTGATTCTGGGGAGACCAGAAACCATCATGTGTGGTGGGTGAAAAAAACGTTTGAGTGTAAACACAGAAGGCACAGAAACCAGAAACGGCACTGACCGGTGAGCCATAATTTATGCCCAGGAGACGCCAAGTGTAGGAACAGGTGATCATAACATAGTACGGAAAAGCATTTCCGCAAAACTAGACCCGCGCTCCTCACTATGTGGCGGGAGCCGTTTGGAAGTCCATCTCCATTTCGCAGCCATGTCTTACTGCGGAAATGCACTTCCGCAACCACACAAGGCAATCGGGGCAACTTTGCCTAGCCATAATAGCGCATGGCCATAGTATGGCTGACTCCTAGCCGCTTCGCGTAGAGTATTAAAGTAGCGACGATTGCCATTTTATATGGTTCATCAAGAAAAATGTTGCAAGTCTCCGAGACAGTGTCCCAGGCCCCAGCAGTACAAACCTCCCTCGTGGAGGTGACTGACTTGCTTTCATCCTCTAACAAACTTCCATGTCGGGTTTTCTTCAAGAATGAAATCGAGCAGCCATCAGGCTCATTCAAGTTGAGAGGAATCGGTCACTTGATTCACCAGTCAATCCGCAAAGCCAGAAATGGCCCCAACAGCCACAAGCCAATTCATGTTTTTGCATCCAGTGGAGGCAATGCCGGGCTTGCTGCCGCCTACTCCGCAAAGTTTTACAATGTCAAGTGCACTGTTGTTGTTCCTACCATTGCCATGAAGCTGGTTGTGGAGAAGCTTCGGCAGTATGGTGCAACTGTGCTTTTGCACGGCAATTCCATTAGCGACGCTGACAAGTTTGCCAGAAGCCTTATGGCCGACGCTGAAACAGAATTCAATTGCATTTACTGTCACCCCTTCGACAACCCATTGATTTGGCAGGGTCACTCGTTGCTCGTTGATGAAATGTTCCAGAACCAATTGTCTCGTGAGGATGCCAAAAAGGTGAGAGGAGTTGTCTGCTCAGTGGGCGGAGGCGGCCTCTTTAATGGTATCAAACAGGGGCTCATGAGAAACAAGAGCAAGGCCGACTGTGTCTTGGTGGAGACGGCGCAGGCGCCTACTCTTTCCAGTGCCGTCAAGGCAGGATCAGTGGTGACATTGAACTGCGTCAGATCACTCGCTACATCTTTGGCCTGTTCATATGTTTCTGGTCCCACTTTAGACTTGTTCAACGACCAGTCCACGAACAAGAACCACATCACCGCCATTGACGATCTCGAAGCTGTCAAGGGCTGCATTGCATACCAAAAAGACTTTGGCAAGATGGTAGAGCCTGCTTGTGGCGCTGCCGTTTCTGTCGTTTACAACCAACTCAAATACCTCAAGGAGAGTGTGGGCAATTTGACGAAGGACGACATTGTCATTGTCGTTGTCTGTGGTGGCTCCTGTGCCAACGAGGCGGTCTTGGACCGTTACAAGAGCATGCTTCGCCTGGAAGCTCATTTGTAAGTTATAAAGCAAATATTAATGTCAAATTTCAAAAGGTCACATCGCTACGTAGCACCCACTTGACGCCGTCCTTGACGATTTCCGCTTCATGCTGTAGGCAGTCATCACCATGCTTGTGTAGTAACGCTAGCCCCTTACTGGGATGCACATTGATCTCCTTCTTGCTGTTGGAGTCCGGATAGAAAATGGTTCCGCCACCAACAAATTCATCTCCTCCTGTTAAATAAATTAAAAGAGTCCACCTAGTAGTTCCCATTTTGGAAGGCTCATGCGCTAGTGGGCACTTCACCGCATCATCGTAATGCTTTCCAAAATGATGACCCTTCGTGTACCGGTATATCCTTAACTGTGGATTTAGACTCTGGGCGTCGGCAAAAGTATCATGAATATCCTCGAGCTCCTCGTCTTCGTAATCCACCTTCTGTAGTAGGATCTTTTTGAGATAGTTCCACAAGGCATCGGCGGCCTGGTTGTCTGTCAACGAGATTCTATCGTTATAGCGAGCGGCGTAGTCTTTGCTTTTGATAAGCGGAGTGGTCTCGAGTTTGAGACTAGATTCAAAAGAGCCTATCAACTGGTTACAAAAGTCATCGCTGAAGAAATGCTCCACAGTGACTATTTGACCTGGAATGATTGATTCCGGCTGTGGAGTAAAAAACAGCTTTTTTAGATTTTCAGATTGGTTGAAGAATTGCTGCGGGAACTCATACGCTGTAGGTTTTTGTTTGGTCTGCTTCTTTGGGGCCATGGTGATCTGTACTACTAAATTATGCGCGCCGTATGTATCAAGTATTTACAACTGCAGCTCGAGGTTCACCAACAAGCTGTAGGTCTCGCGAGGCATTCTATACTGAATGAGACCGGCGTAAACCATGCAATTCTTGGCGATTTTTCGGAGAGACGTCAATTCGTCTCTTTCACCACCCAAGGAGCCGAATCTTTTGGATTTAATTCCATGTGTGAGTTGTGCAACACTCGTCATCACCATGACAAGCAAGGAAGGTATAACACGCACGAGAGCGACATCGTAGTTTGTCAATGATTCAGCGGAGTTTCTAATCTCAACAAAGTCGTCGCTATTAAGTGCACTGAGGAAAGGCAACTTTTGAAGCGCAGCTAAACTCACACGCCAGTCCTTGGCTGCAAAAGTCTCACGAATGTCCACCACCGCTAACAATGCATCATTAACCCTCTTGGCGCCAGGAGAAATCTTGTCCAAAATGGAGCTGTTGTTGTTAAATGTACCCATGACATGCTTGCTGAGGAGTATGAAGTTATTTTCAATACTCTGCTCTGGCTTGTTATCACCTGTAGCGGTTCTGTAGGTGGCACCGGACAAAAGCGGCTTGTCAAGCTCAGACATTGACAAAGTCTCCCCAACGAATTCATTTATGAGGCGAACAACAACATCGTAATCCTGACTCAACTGATAGAGCAAAAGTGCATCAAAAACTCTTCCTTCTTCTTCGCATCTTGAGGCACTCACATCCACAATTGTACGTTGGAACTTCGTCAAGTCCGACAAGTTGATAAGCGGCCTCTGTTTCTCGAGAATACCCGGCAGTTTTTCTCCAGTAACATCGTTGAGTTCACCCAACAAAAGGGTGAATTCACGAGTGATAAGAATGAGCTCGCGCAATGCCTCATGACATTTTGCTGTCTCTTCTTGAGAATGACCACCTTTAGCCAAGCATATAAGGATAAGATATTGCACAGTCACCTTTGGATCACTGATCTTAAAAGTTCTAGTATAGGATCCGACAAGTCTGCTAAAATTGATCTCGTGCTTTTCAGATGAGTTGATGGTTATCAAATCGTCATTGGACACACTTGAGACTCTAAGAAGTCCGTAATAGCATAAACCGATCGCAAGATGGACTGCATCACACTCATTTATAGTGTCATAAGCAAATTTAACGGCGAGCTCGTATAATCCAAGCATTATTAAAGTTTTGAGGTACAGTGGATTGTTAGACGACGCATTAAACTTTGTGGGACCAAGAGACAACACTTTCTTTTGCAAGTTCTCAAGTCTATAGTTCTCATAAATCAAACTCGAGGACGCATCAAAGTTGAATTCATTGATGAGGGAAAGATGAAACCACAACC